TGTTTCAGAAATCAGAGTTTCTCAGTTAACCAGATAACCTGAGTCCAAAGTGAAGCCTGTCCAGTAGGAGAACAGCTGCATTCTTAATGGCTCTTTACTCTGGGCCTAAATGAGCCAACTGTACTGAGAATTCCTGAGAAATACTGAGAAACGTAACAGAATACAAGTATGGGGAAGTAAGTATTCAGAATACAGAAATTCAGTATCTGTATTCAGTCCAAGTTACATTTTATAAAGGCAATGTTGAGATCAGGACCCCCTAATTAGTTTTTTGGTCTCACAATCAAAATTCTGGAGGGTCCCTGGAAATAAACATATTATGACATTATGCTGTCCGTTTGGGTAAAATAGACGCTCAAATACAAATTAGATCAAGGACATTGTTCAGCTGCTTCACTCACAATCAGTGAGCTTCTGTCTTTGATGTTCTTAGCTAACTAGAGCTGCTGCACTGCTCTGCCTCAGGGTGGCGCTGTAGCTGACTGGCTCACCCAGTTGATCCTTCATAGCCTAATAACTCTAAGGACCAGTCCCATTTCTGATTTTTAGCCCTACCCCTTGTTTTCGAGTGTCCTCTTGTCCCCTGGAACTGAGTTACAAGGAATAGTGATTGAAATCTTCCCTCTGAAATGGGACCCTCAAATAAAAAGAGCATCACTTCATTAACAGCTACTAGCGCTGCTCTGCAGGCGACCCTGCCAGTCTGCAGTGACAGCAGAGGAGGGTAAAGTTCAGCTCCTCACTGCTGGGCTTTAGTTACATTTAGGGCATCATATGCCTTCAAAGAGGGGGGCAATTATTTATTATCACCCACCCCTAATTCTTCAGTGATATGAAGCTGAAGTCAGATATTCACCAGATTCTTGTTGAAATTTTCCCGTTCCACCTTAAATGGAGATTTAGCTACCGAGACATCAGCACTACTAGCGATTTTTATGCTTATTATGAAGAAAAGGACCATAATACACTGTCGTAATTTTTTAACAGAAAATTCTTACATTTCTTTGGTCTCTTGTTCAGCCGTCTTCACAGTTTTTCCTTTTTTACTCGTAACTCTCTGTTTGGAGTCTGAAAAACCTCCGTTTGGAGGGTCATGTAGTCCAAACGCTCCGCCCCACCCCTCTATCTAAACAAGAATCGGGACACCCTACCCCTAGACGTGAACATGTAAAACAGAGGGGTAAGGGCTAAGTGGTACGGGCGAGGGCTGAAATGCGATTGGGCCAAACTGTGCCTGGGATACCTCTGATTTCCCTAAAGTTTGGTAAAAATAATTAATTGTTACTAATTTCTCAAACTGAAGACAAAAGAGACGTGTAAGATCTTAATTAATGTGAGAAAGAGCTCATTACCAAACCAGAAAAGAGCATTTCCGCTATGGTGAGTGAGTTAGCAGCCAGTCAGCCAACGTGGACCCCCTGAATACCAGGGGATATTTAACACTCTGTATTTACATTGTTTGGACCCTTATGACAGTAAAATATATCTACAGAGTACCTTTTTTTCTGACAGTGTAGAAAATCAACAAAGCATGTCATTTAACTAGGATGCCCAAACTTTTGCATGTAGTTGTATATTGCTGCTCTGTGAATTACATGGTCATTCATTCTAAAAGGGCTACAAGCTTACAAAAGGGGGTATTTCAGTTTTTTAAAACATCTTCCAGGCTTTACAATTTGAGTTTTTTTGTTTACATTTCCAAAACTATTTTCACTTCTCACTCCAGTTCAGTAGGTGGCGCTAATGCACCTTCAGCCGGTCTGACATCCACCAGAACCGCCAAAGAAGAAGAAGAAATAAACAGTTTTTGTAGCGGATTAAGATCTGAAACTGGGTTTTTAGCCGAAAGCGCTAAGATTTAATCCCCGGTCTGGATCCTAATGAGGTCCGTTAGGCTGTATTTGATAGACTGGCGGCTGAGATTGGAGGAGTTTAGTCCGTAGTTCTGCTTTACGGACTGAAAGCTGCGTTACTGCGGTTCAGATTTGTGTTCACATATTCGTGTTTTTCCTCGGCGTTTCTCTAAAGGTGAGCACGAAAAGGTTCACTGTCACTGTCACTGTGTGCAAACCGAGACAACCAAGTATCAGGTTAGTTATCGTTAGAAATGTTTGCCTTTTATAAAGAAGAAATAATTAGGGACTGTCTGCTGTAACCGCTTTGAAAGCTAAGGGACCGTCTACAAACTACACAGGCGTAGGTACAAACGGCGATTATCGGGGTCCAAGCACGACGCGCCAACACAAATAGATAGCTAGATATATGGATAGATAGGTCACTTTATTAATTCCAGAGGGAAAATCGTTTATTGCTGTAACACAAAGTACAGTAAAGGGCAAAACACGAGCAAAAGTATTGTTGTATGCTATTATATAGATGCAGAAATAGAAACATGAGACTTTATGGGCCAGTATTGGGTCTTTTAGCCGATTGAACACAATTGATTGGCCGTGGGAGATTTTAGAAATAGTTAAAGTTACAGTTACATTTGCCAAATATCATAATCCTGTTGGGCTTGGTGTAGAAAGCTGTATGTTTTGATAATACAGTTATTCGTCATTATTAGTTATTCAGAAGCAGTTATTCGTCATATGACTTGTGGTTGTACAAATCATTAATAGTAGCTACTGCTGAGTAAAATATTCAGTTTAACGAAATGCTTTGGGTTTTGTTTTTTTGCTTTAGTTTTAACCTTTTAGACCCCAACAGAATTCTTGAACACTCTCTGAGATTCCTAATACTTTTCAGAGTTAGAGGCCTGTTGCTCTTTTATACAAAATATTTTATTGTAAATTATATGTAAACTCAATAACAAGTTGATTTTTTTTCAAGGTGCTTGGCACCTCTTCAAAATGAAAACAACACCACTGGATAGAAGTTAACACAGAGCTGTGAGCCCAAGACTGAATAGAAAATGCGTATTGAAACTGTGCCAATGTAATTACAATGTAAAAACACTGGTGTCCGCTACACACTCCTCATTTCAGGAGGAGCTCAGGGGGGCGTGGCATGCAATGCTGCCCCTGCACTCGCCTCCTCCCTCCGTTAAGGGAGGATATTTGTTGTTGTGGTTGTTTGTAAGTGTAAGATGTGCTTATGTGGCTGGGCTTTATTGTGTTCTGCTGTGAGTTATTTATTGTGGGTTTAGTATTTACCGTCAGTGGATGCTGTATGGCTAAAGTTGACCATCCACGCCATTCTCGCTGTTACTGAGTGGCCTTTGCTGCTTTGTTCAGAGAGCATTTTCCTTTAGTAGCAAAACGGCATCTGTTGGTTCTTCTTGTGGGCCGCTGTGACAATATATAATAAAAATGAAAATTCCTAGAAATGAAGAACAGAACAAACTGATTGCAGGCACTAACAAAGCTGAAAGTCGTTTTTAAAGATAATTGTAAAAATTGCCGTCATACACATGTAAATAATGTTCCACACTTAGCTTATTGTTTTTAGTGTATTTCTACTTATTCAGTGTATTTAATATATATATATATATATATATGTATATATATATATATATATATATATATATAATTTTATATTTTATATTTTTTTTCTAAGGTTATATTTGTTGAATACAGCAAAGTAAGAATTTCATTGTACAGTGTAACTGCCTGTTTCTGCTGCGCATATGACAATAAAACTCTTGAATCTTGAATCTAAGGACTCTCCCCAGCCATAGTTTTGGTTTTCCTGATTCGTTATGGCTATGAAATGCTATGAAATCACTAAAAAAAAATTTGTCAGTTCATCTGTACTGAATAAGACTTATGTTCACCTTCTGAAGCTTTTTGGAACATGAACTTCACCCTTAAAACAGATGTGTTAAAAAAACAATACATTCTGCTTCTAACTAGACACATCAGTGCGTTCAGGTGGAGACGACACATTTTGTGTTACTTTTAACACAGAACGTGTTTAATCAGAAAACCAATATGACAGAGTGTTAAAACAGGTAACGCTAGTTATGCAACACCTCAGTTTTCAAAGTGTTTAAATTACCTATGAAAACACATCAACAAAGAGTTATGTTTTGAATGTACCTTCATGTCATCACTGCTGTAAATAGAAATCCTATCAGACCTCTGAATCCATTTCTGATAAACAGCATATCTGAACACTTTTGAGGGCTGTAAGATTTGAGAGCTCCCCCTTATAGAGAATGTTTAGACTGCTCAACGTGGCTTTATAATGACCTGCAGGTATTGTGTTGTGGCGATCTCTTGGCACCTCATAATTCAGTTTTGATTCAGGGTGCCATGATACGAGTAGCCCTAACACTTTGCCCTACCCCTCTATCTCAACAAAAATCGGTACAACCTACCCCTAGACTTGAACACGCAAAATGGAGGGGTAGGGCTTAGTGGTAGGGGCGAGGGGTGAAATGGAATTGGGCCTTCCATTCTGGTCGGAAACTGTGGTGCTGCTCAGTGGAGATATTTAGACTGAAGAACAGTTTGGATTGTAGCACCTCTAATTGTGTCCCGCTCTTTGTTGGATGTTTCATACTTGGCTTCAGTTAAACAAGCTTTAATTTTGCTTTACGTAATGAAGTTGCTGCATTTTGCAATGTCTTTAATTCTCTCCTGTGTTTTTATTCACCTGCAGAAACGAATGGCATCTGGTTTCAAGTCTTCTCTTGATCTGTAGGCCCACTTTCCAACACGGCTCAAACTCTTCTCCGCAAACAGATGACAAGACGCCTCAAGACTTACAGATTAAAGCAAGAAGAGTAAAAATATTCTGCGGTACTTTCCTCACAAACACCTCTCACGATGGATGAGGAGAGAACTCTCCCCTGCTCAGAGTATGGACAGAGTTTTATTCCTCAGCGCCATCTCCAGGAGCATCACATCGACGCAGATGAGAAGCTGTACTGCTCCTCAGACTTTGGCAAGAGTTTTATTCATCAGTACCACCTTCAAGAACATCATATTCTCACAGAAGAAAAGGCTTATTGCTGCTCAGACTGCGGGAAGAGCTTCATCCATCAGTGCCATCTCCAAGAACGTCACCCTGGTGTGGAAGAAAAGCCTTATTGCTGCCCGGACTGCGGGAAGAGCTTTATTCATCAGTGCCATCTCCAAGAGCATGAGGTCGATGCTGAGGAGAAGCTGTATTGCTGCTCACAGTGCGGTGCGAGCTTTATCCATGAGTGCTATCTCCAAGAACATGATATTCCCACGGAAGAGAAACCTTATTGCTGCTCCGACTGCGGGAAGAGCTTTATTCACCAGTGCCACCTCCAAGAAGAGCATATTGACGCTGAGGAGAAGCCGTATTGCTGCTCACGGTGCGGGAAGGACTTTGTAATTCAGGGACGTCTCCTAGAACATAACATCGATGCTGAAGGGAAGCCGTACTGCTTCTCAGGCTGTGGGCCGAGTTTTCTCGAAGAACATCCGATTCTCACGGAAAGGAAGCCGTATTGCTGCTCAGTGTGCGGGAAGGGCTTCACTCAGCTGATTGACCTCCAGCGTCACCTGCGCATTCACACCGGAGAGAAACCGTACGCCTGCTCGGAATGCGGGAAGAGTTTCGCCCAGCAGAGCCATCTCCAGCAACACCAGCGCATCCATACGGGAGAGAAGCCGTACTTCTGCTCGGAGTGTGGAAAGAGTTTCAGCGACAGCAGCAATTTCCGAAAACACCAGCGCACTCACACGGGAGAGAGGCCCTACGTCTGCGCCGAGTGCGGCCTGAGCTTTATGGACAGGAGCGCCCTCATGACGCACCAGCACAATCACACGGGAGAGAAGCCCTATTCCTGCACGCAGTGCGGGAAGAGCTTCAATCGACTGAGCACCCTCCAGCTGCACCAACGCGTTCACACCGGAGAGAAGCCGTACTTCTGCCCGCAGTGCGGGAAGAGCTTCATCACGGGAGGAACCCTCAAGAACCACCTGCGCACTCACACGGGAGAGAAGCCCTTCCAGTGCTTGTACTGCGGGAGGAGCTTTGCTCAGCAGAGCACCCTCCAGCAACACATGCGCATCCACACAGGAGAGAGGCCGTACAACTGTTTGGAGTGCGGGAAGAGCTTTACGCAATGGAATCATCTCCAGCTCCACCAGCGCACTCACACGGGGGAGAGACCCTTCGACTGCTTGCAGTGCGGGAAGAGCTTCACTCATAAGAACAGTCTGCTACGACACCAGACCGTTCACGCTGGAGAGAGGCCGTATTAAAGGAGTGCAATGGTGTTTTAGAGCCACTGTTAGAAAAATAAAGGTAGCACTTTATTTGGAGTGGTCCTTTGTAGAGATTAAGAAACTTTTAACAGAATATCAGAAACACATCAACATTTTAGTAAAGTAACACTAGTGAAGCATCTGAATACACTGAAGTAAATATCTTGTAGATGTTCTGTTGATACATTACTTACATTAAGTAGATGTGTTGTAAATATGTTACTTCTATTACCCAAAACCTAACCTTACCAACCTTAACCCAAATCCTAACCCTCACCCTGGCCCTAATCCTAACCCTAACCTTAACTTCAACCCAAAACCTAATCCTAATCCTACTACACTTTTGACATGTTACTGAGAGTCCGTTCAGTGTTTGTTTCATCTAAAAGGAAACACTCAAAATAAAGTGTCACCAAAATAAAAGTAACAGACTTCGTGAATAAAGTCGTAATTTTTTTTTTTTTGAATGAAGTCATATTTTGAGAATACAGTCATAGAATTAGGACATTAAAGTGGCATTAAAAGGTTGCAATATTGTGGCCAAAGGCTTTGCAAAGGGAAGCAGCACCTCCTCGTGTTAAATGAGGGGCGGTGAGTTGGTGGAGTTATACTTTCATATCGATTCACCCATAAAGAAACACTCAGTCTCCCTGTCTCTCCTGCACATCAGCACCAGCCTGTTATTAGTATAAGAAACGTCTGAAACGGCTGAGCAGGAAACTGTTTATCTGGAATAGAGAGCCAGACGGACTTGGAGGAAACTGTCTGTCTGTGTTGTTGAAGGAGAATCACAGGCAGGGTCGTCTACACGGCTATCGGGGGCTACATCTCCACACCATTCAAAGAGGGCATGAAGTTTCACAGACAGTGAGAATGATGATCAACATGATCGATTCCTAAGGAGTGAGTGGAACACAGCGCACACAGCGTCTTCACTGTCGCCAGTACAGCAACCGAGACCCCAACGCCTTACGACAGCCCCCCTACAATTAGCTCACTTTCTTTATGAAATATCTCGAGTGTATTCATGTAACTTTGTGAGTTCATTGTCTAAATATTATGACTCTATTCTCAAAATCTTACAACTTTTTTCCAAAAAAATTACTTTATTCTGAAAATCTTACGATTATTCTCAAAATATTATGATTTTATTCTAAAAAAAAAATACAACTTTATTCTCAAAATATTACGACTTTATTCTCAAAGTCCATTATTTTTATATTTTTTTTTTAGCAGTGGCCCTAAAACTGTGTCGTAAAGGAGAATTCCACTCTTTTTTAAATATTTCTGCATCAGTCAAATGGTTAGGATGTAAACAAAGCTGTGGCCGGTTGTGCCAGCTGTATGTAAGTTTAAACGTGGGCTAGTTGTTGTGATCGTTTATAAAGTTGAGGTTTATGCGTTACTAAATCAGAATGGGTTGCATCGCACAAACTAGCTTTAACATCACTCTCAGAAACAAAGGTCATTAAAAACTGTCACTGAGGAGGGGCCCTCAAGGGTACGTCTCAGTACCTTTAGTCAAGGAACATAACTGAACCATAATCCATTTAAATTAAACTGCTTTTTTAATAGAAGTTTTGTACGACCATATTATGAATTCCCAAAACCAGCAAGTATCAACACGTAGAATGCAGGCTTGGCACACATGCATGCACACTTACACAGTCAGACTGATAATGCACGTAAACACATCTGTGGTCCAAAAATACATTTGTATATCTGAAAAGCTCTGTAATTCAATGTGTAAATATCATGTAACATACATAATTTGTATGTTTTAAATCATTACTTTATACTTTTTAATGAACTGCATTCTTGAAATGCAAAACAAATCTCTGTGAACTCAGACTGTGTTCAGGTGTTCAAGTTAATCGTCCCTGAATCGTCACACTGGCTGTTTATGTTGTGAATTCAATTCTGGGGATACGTGGTCAGGGCTCCAGACTACTGCCATACCGTCATGTGGCTAGTCTGGAGCGCTGACCGTTCTGGAGAACCATGCAGAATGATAATTGTTCACAGTGGTGGTGATGGGAACCAGACGTCCACCTCTAAAAGCTCCCTAACAGAAAGTTATTATGTTAGATCTTTACGAATGCACTGCCTTGTGTCTGAGACAGTGAGTACGTTTACATGCACCTAATAATCTGATCATAATCTGATTTCTGTGGCTATCTGATTATTCAAGTGGTCGCATAAGCAGTTCAGTAATGGGTTTCTCAGTGCATGTGAACTCTTACTCTGATTTCTTTCGCTTTTCTCAGTCTGTGCATGTGCCAAAATAGACCGTGGCACCGGAAACAGCAAGCAGCGTTTTGGAGCGATGCTGATGCCAAATACATGCCAGACGAAGTGAAGGATTTAAAGGATTTTCATCTAAAATGGCTCAATGTTTTAAAATTAAGCCGGTTTGAGGTTTATGTTACGTTTACATCACGTCTTATTTTGTTAGTTTATTGGCTGGTTGCAAAGCAGAAATCTGATCACTTTCTCACTCGTGTCGACCCGGAGTTTCCCCATTATTTCATTACTCAAGTGCATGTAATCTGATTTTCTGCAGTTATTAGATTATTAAAATTATCGAGAAGAAGAATTTGGCCTCTTTTTTTTTTAATGGTAGAGAGATACATGCAGGGTGTTCTGAGGCAGAATAGTCCCTAAAAACAACTTGTTATTTCAGATTTTCCACTATTTTCCCATCATCAACATTCCATATAAACTCAGAAGACTCGTGTAGGTTCACTGGTGGTTCTGGATAGTAAATAAATGTCTATATTTGTGTTGTAGTCATGACGACCCCTGGTTCCTGTCACCACCACTGTAAAGACATCTGAACCATTTCACACCAAACCACTCTGAATCGCTCTGTTTACATCTGAACCACTGAATTAGGCAGAAAATATGAAAAATTGGTGGAATTCTCCTTAAATACATACATACATGTTGGAAAGAGTTCTCTTACACAACACTAAGACTGAATAGTCTTGTTGTACATTTGGGCCAAATGTAAGTGCCAACACTTTGTTTTTGGTAGTGATAGTCTGTCGGTTTGTAGCTCTTTAGGCACTAATTGATGTTTGTATAAAGGCCTGTTTCAGGTCTGCTGTAGCTGAGTAGCTCCTCTGATGATAAACCAGTGTACTGTTAATTTATTTCTCAGATAGCCAGTCAAATCTTAGAGTACAGCTTCAGTCAGCGTTTTTATGAATTCAATACTATAATAACTCTTCATTCCACACTAATTGTTAGAAGATTGAAGTTGTTTGCCTTTATGATGGTGCGATTATTCTTAATCACTGCATTTCCTTCCTAAATATTTGTGATTGGAACATATTTAACTCTGTACCTTCTGTTTTTATTATGATTTCTTGACAATTGAAGGATCTCTGGCATATTTGAATTCCAGACACGGTTGTGTGCAAATGTTTGAGCACCCCTGGTCCAATGACATGTTGATTTTCTAAGTGAAAATCAGTTACTCATCCTCTACAGAGACACAATTCTGCACGTTTTAATACACAGTGACTGTACGTTTGTTGAATTTAACATATCGGGGGACAAAATAAACAAAAAATGTGGTGCTATTAATATGTTATTATTTTATGTTTTATTTTTTCCGTTATTCTAAACTTTGCCGATATCATATTCAAGTAATATTCAAGTGTGTTCTCTGTCCACCTCCTTGTATCTACACTCACTGTCCATCTTATCAGCTCCACTGACCATATACACCGATTAGGCATAACATTATGACCACCTCCTCAGCTCCACTTACTATATAGGAGCACTTTGTAGTTCTACAGTTACAGACTGTAGTCCATCTGTTTCTCTGCATACTTTGTTAGCCCCCTTTTACCCTGTTCTTCAGTGGTCAGGACCCCCATGGACCCTCACAGAGCAGGTACTATTTGGGTGGTGGATCATTCTCAGCACCGCAGTAACACTGACGTGGTGGTGGTGTGTTCGTGTGTGTTGTGCTGGTACGAGTGGATCAGACACAGCAGTGTTGCTGGAGTTTTTAAACACTGTGTCCACTCACTGTCCACTCTATTAGACACTCCTACCTTGTCAGTCCACCTTGTAGATGTAAAGTCAGAGACGATAGCTCATCTGCTGCTGCACAATTTGTGTTGGTCATCCTCTAGTCCTTCATCAGTGGTCACAGGACGCTGCCCACAGGATGCTAATGGCTGGATATTTTTGGTTGGTGGACTATTCTCAGTCCAGCAGTGACACTGAGGTGTTTAAAGCTCCAGCAGCTCTGCTGTGTCTGATCCACTCAGACCAGCGTGATAAACTAGTTTGTATTTTATCTGCATCTCTCTGGATGTTTGCCCAGTTAGAATCAACTTGAAGCATTTATTGCCTTATTATTTATAAGTTATTATTATTATTAGTTATGTCATGTCATTGTACAAATTAAAAACAGTCCATTGTATCATATCATTCAAAATACAAAATGTTTTCCCATCATTATGTTGTCATCAACATATGTTGGTTTTTCTTTTAATTTGTGATTCACTTGTAGTTTTACACAATTTGTCACAGAATTTTTTTGAAAATGATAGGATTAGCACATTGTAATGGTCTGAAATGTATCCTGTTTCTTCTAAGTAATTACTCCCATTTTTAAAAAAGTTTGAATGTTCATGAAATGTGCCATTGATGACGTTATATATATTCATAAATGTTATACTTCAAATGACAGTGTTGCATGAGAAATGTTTGCGTAGTCTTTAAAACTTTGCCGTTTTAGAAATGTGACTAATACATTAAATTTGTACACACTGTACTATTTCTGTTGTTGTTTCTGCTTCAGAATTTCAAAGATGTTTGCATCAGAAATCTTGTCTTGGTTGGAGCCTTTAAAGTGAGGTGCCTTTCAAAATCATCTAAAACGCCACCATTTCAATTCAGTCAGTTAAAAGGAAAACATGCAAACAGCTTCCTTTGATGTTTTAAGCCCATCAATGTCAACCCTGTTATTTTCAAAAATTCTGAATACAGTCATATTTGGTTGCGTTTTCTCTGAAGATTAAATGGGCCCTGATTTTAGAAAATGTCAGTAATTATATGAAAAACAGCTTTTGTTTTTTTTTAACTTTTTTTTTTAATTCTGCTAATTTATTGCAGTAAATTCCTTTCAGATAGACATACGACCATAACACAAACATGAAAATGCACACAAAAACTGAAGTGTATTTGACTAGAACAACACGCTGAGATGGTCAGTAGGTATTTCTCATAGTCATTTTTAATAATAGGTCTTTTATTTAATGTAGTGGCAGAAGTAACAGAACATAAAACTCATAAAGCTTCACTGAGAAGTCCTGCTATCTGAAAGAAACCCAGACTGACCGCAGCACTGCAGCTGGGAAACACTGATATAATTTGATGCTCATGTATTCAGGGCGGAACGATTGTTTGGCACTTGCTTGCACGGACAGGATTTGTGCACGTACACCGCTTTCGTTTGTTGTCAGCGGGTTTAAGTGAAAACGAGATGTAAACAAACTGTTTTTGTAGCGGATTTTAGTCCAAAACTGAACCATTAGCCGAGTTTGTGTAGATTTAATCCACTGGCTGGAACCATTGAGGCTCTTTAGGCTGCATTTTGAACATTGGTTGGCGAAGTCAAAGCAGTTTGATTCATTTTTTCTTCAGTTTTCTTTTTTACGGTAAGTACAAAACGGTTAATCTATCACCGATCCAGTGTTAGCAGACCTAAACAATAAAGCGTCGGCTTAGTGATCGTTAGAAATGTATGTTTTTTTTTAATTAAGAAATAATTATAGGCTGGCTGTGAGGGGCTGTAATCGCTTTGAGAAGTAAGGGAGCGTCTACAAATTACAGAAATGTAGGTGCAAACGGCGATTGTAGGGGTCCAAGCACGACACGCCAATATGAGGCCAGGATTGAGTCTTTTAGCAGACACAATGCAATTGATGCGCAGTCAGGATTTTTTTTGTTACGTTTATGACGGCATTTCTGAAATTGTGTGTAGACTGACCTCTTGGTCCTGATGAATGATAAGTAGCATTTTTTAGCAAACAATTCAAAATATCTGAAAATATCAGTACTATTTCTCTTATGACTTGTACAAATTTGTACAAAAGTTTAAGTAGAACATTTGATTCAGTAAAACAAACAGTTCAAAGGGTTTGGTTCACTAAAATAAAATAAAAAAATCCCCTTCTTACTAGAAACCTGTGCTGTTCAGTGAACACGTTTGGTCTGAAAAAAAAGCATTGGAGCTGCACTTCTAATGGTGCTTTTACTTGGATGCTGAATGTCTTTCATACTTCGTATTTGATTAAACAATGGGGGAATTTAAGTTCTAGTTTTGCTTAATGTAATCAATTTCTTTCTAACTTCTTTTCTCCTCCAGTTAAAGCCACACTATGTAAGTTTTGAGGATTTGGAGACCTCTCAGGTGGAAATGTGTAAGTGCACGTCGGTTGTGCACTGGACCCCTTCCCCAAGCAGATGAACTTGATCTGTTGAAAGAGAATTCAAAGAGAACTCGGGCAAAACTTGAAGGACGTGTCTTCTGGTAGTTTCCTAATAGATACGTCTCATCTACAAACACAGGAAAGGATGGGCAAGGAGAGAACGCTCCACTGTTCAGAATGTGGGAAGAGGTTCACTCATCTGTGTAATCTCCAACAACATCAGCGCATACACACAGGAGAGAAGCCGTATTGCTGCTCACAGTGCGGGAAAAGTTTTACTCACGCAAGTAATCTAAAAAAACATGAGCGCATTCACACAGGAGAGAAGCCATGCGTGTGTTCGGAGTGCGGAAAGAGTTTTATTGACAGAAATACTCTGATAACGCATCAGCGCATTCACACTGGAGAAAAGCCATATTCCTGCCCACAGTGCGGAAAGAGTTTTAGCCGACAAAATACTCTCCAAATACACTTCCGCATCCACACAGGAGAGAAGCCGTATTTCTGCTCACAGTGTGGGAAGAGTTTTACTGACAGTGGTGCTCTTAAGAATCACCGGCGCACTCACACGGGAGAGAAGCCGTATGTCTGTCCACAGTGTGGAAAGGGTTTTAGTCAGCAGAGCACTCTACAGCAACACCAGCGCACTCATACAGGAGAGAAGCCGTATTTTTGTTCAGATTGTGGAAAGAGTTTTACCCAACAGAGCACTCTCCAACTACACCAGCGCACTCACTCCGGAGAGAAACCCTATAACTGCTTACAGTGCGGGAAGAGTTTTACTCATAAGTATAGTTTCTTACGACACCAACGCATTCACACAATATAAAAAACATACTAATGCACAAGGGGTGCAGAGCGTTTTGATTGTAGAAGCGCTTTTAACAACACTAAAGGCTGTGCAATGGACAAACAGCGTTGTGCAGTGTCCAGAAATTTTAAGCTATTGTTTTTGATGGAGGTAAACAAACTGGAGGAGACATTCAGCTTGTGTCATGTAGCATTTTCCAAGCCTGTGTTAATATAAACTCAGATTCACACTAGTGTAAAGTTAAATAGGGTGCCAGGGTGCAGGAGGTGGAGGTGTTAAGGGTGTAGCACCGACTTGCCAGACCAAAGGATTCATTTCCACAGGATACATTTCCACTTTGTGTCAGTGCATTTCAGATGAGCTTTAACCCAGAGAAGTCGGCGGCGTTTCTGGATGTTGTTGATATATGGCGTCTGCTTTGCGTAGTACAGTCTTAACCTGCATTTGTAGATGCAGTGGCAAACTGTGTTTACAGACAAGGGTTTTCTGAAGTATCCCCAAGCCCAGGTGGTGATATTCACTACAGAAGAATGTTGGTTTTTAATGCAGTTCCGTCTGGGGGGTGGAAGACCATGGGCATTTAGTACTGGTTTTCGGCCTGGTCTTTTACACACAGAGATTCCTCTGGATTCTCTGAATCTTTTAATAATGTTATGGATTGTAGACGGTAAAATCCCTGAATTCCTCGCAATCATGCTTTGAGGTACATTGTTCTTAAACGGTTAGGCCCAGTCCCATTTCTTCTTTTTACCCCTACCCTTTGTTTTTCAGTGTCACCTTGTCCCTTGGAACTGAGTTATAGGGTAGTGGCTGAAATCCTCCCTCTGAAATGGGACCCTCAAATAAAAAGAGCATTACTTCATTAACAGCTACTAGCACTGCTCTGTCTGCGACCCTGCCAGTCTGCAGTGACAGCAGAGGAGGGTAAAGTTCAGCTCCTCACTGCTGGGCTTTAGTTTACATTTAGGGCATCATATGATCTTCAAAGGGGGGGGCAATTATTTATTATCACCCACCCCTAATTCTTCAGTGATATGAAGCTGAAGTCAGATATTCACCAGATTCTTGTTGAAATTTTCCCGTTCCACCTTAAATGATGCAGCAGTTACATTCTGGCACTTCAGGCGTCAGAACTGCTGGATTACTTCAGGTGGAATGGGAAAATTAGCTAGCTAGCTAACGAGACATTAGCATGCTATTAGCGATATTTTATGCTTATTATGAAGAAAAGGACCATAATACACTGAAACAACATTAAACTAAAACAATGATGGTTATCGTAATTTTTTAATGGAGAAAATTCTCGTATTTGTGGGTTTCTTTGGTTGCTTGTGCTCCACCTTACAGGTTTTTCTGTTTTTCTCATATCACTCCGTTTGGAGTCTGAAAAACCTCTGTTTGGAGGGCCATGTAGCCCCAACACTTCACCCCACCCCTCTATCTCAACAGAAATTGGGACACCCTACCCCTAGACGTGAATGTGCAAAACAGAGGGCTAAGTGGTAGGGGGGAGGGGTGAAATGGGATTGGGCGTTAAGTTTGCTCACACAAAGTGACAACTGAGCCTTTTGTTTAAGCCTCTTTTTGTACCCAATTATAGTAGCATCACCTGTTACCTATTCACCTGTTTACCTGTGGAAAGTTCCAAAACAGAACTTCCCACTCTTACATCACCCCTGTTTTAAACTTTTTTGGAATGTGTTGCAGACATCAAATTTGCATATATTTACCCAAATCAATAAAGTTGATAAGGCAAAATATTACATATTTTCATATTTTCTTCTTTGTGTTGTTTTCAATTAAATATCTGTAAAAGACACTTCACAAATCACGGCTTTCTGTTTCTATTTGCATTTTATCTACTGTCCCAACTTTTCTAAAGGGTTTATATTTATGTTCTTTCTAAGTCTGCAGTACCTTGCACTGTTTAACAGTGTATTTTCATTAAAGTGAACCAGATTGTGTCCCTCGAAAACAGTTGGGTGATTTGGGGGCAAGTTGTTAAAACACAAGCAGGTTGAGGTACAAAAAAAAGGGAAAGTGCAGAGCAGTGGGCTATTTCTGCGCCACAATGCTGCTTTAAAAATCATCTAATATAAAAATGCTTTAAGAACAGTTTTTTTCTTTTCAACCATTTTTTTTCAGTCCGCCTGGTGTGTTTGAGTGTTGAATCTCAGGGTGTGACTAACTTAGTGATACAGTCCATTACTACTACCCCTTTCGTGAAAATGCTAAATATTATTTTTGCTATGTTTGTCTCATTTTTGGACATCGATATCAACAAAAAGAAGCAAGAATTGCAGACTTGAATGTAAAAGTATTTTATTACATAAGCAACTGTGTTAATTAATATGTAATTATGTAAATACAGCTCTGTGTAAAAATCCATGTTTATTTACTTCATTTCTGGTTATAAGCAGCCGTTAAGTACAAGTTATTAATTTCTCAGGAGGTATTTCTGAGGAGATTAGATAATCCAGAAGGTAAAAGTGAAAAGCGAGCTTCCAAAACTGGAGTTCAAAAAATGTATTAAAAGCTGCAGAGAAAATGGGGCTCCTAACAACCACCTGGAAGACCTGGTCGACACCAAAACTGTCCCCATCAGATAAACAGCACTTCAGCATAAACAGAAAATCAAGCTGCTTCCAGCCACCAAAAGACATGTTTACATCATTAATTATCTTAATTGCTTTAAGAAAGCTAATGTTTTTAATGTTTTCAAAGCCCTAAAAGGGAGTGATTCAGCCTAAACTCCACTAAAGACTCTGGAGCTGCTCTTCGTCAATTTGACCGCCAGGTGTCAGTAATACAGCCCCTTTGGAAAAGCTATAAGTAATTAAACACCTATTTTATCACACTATAAGGGCAAACTGCTCTCCTTCAGACAGTCTCCCTTCATCATTACTATTATATGGAATTCTTCTATTCTTTTCTCATTGTGTTAAATTTGATTAGATTATATGTCTATTATAAATCTAATATCTTATATATTATTTATTATTAAATCTCAATAATAATCATGGGAAATTTTAGTAGTTTTAGTTTACTAAAGTAGTTAGTAGATAAAGTAATACAAAATAATTTTAGTAGGTAAAAAAAGAATTTTGTTTAGTCATTTTTTAAAAAATAATTACAGTTAGTAGATAAAATAATAAAAAATAGTCTGTAAATACAATAATAATAATCATTTGAGTTAATAGGAAAAATTATTTAAAAATAGTAGGTGAAAAAAAAATTTTAGTAGGTAAAAAAATTAGTGGATAAAATAATAAAAATAATTTTAGCTAGTTGGTAAAATAACATCATTTTAGTTAGAAGATAAAATACTAAAAATGATTTTAGTTAAGAGTTAAAATAATAAAGAATTTTATTTAGTCATTATTTAAAAAATAATTACAGTTAGTAGATAAAATTACAAAATAGTTTGTAAATACAATAATAATCATTTCAGTTAATAGGAAAAATTATTTAAAAAATAATAGCTAAAATAATAAAAAATATTTTTAGTAGGTAAAAAAATAAGTAGTGGATAAAATAATAAAAATAATTTTATTGAGTAGGTAAAATTATTTTCCATTTTTACCCGATTTTCTCCCCAATTTAGTCGTCTCCAATTCCTCCCGCTTTGAGTAGGTAAAATACATAATTATACTTAGTAGGTAAAAGAAATTTTAAAATATTAGATAAAATAAAACAAATAATTTTAGTTAGAAGATAAAATACTAAAAATGATTTTAGTTAGTAGGTAAAATAAAAAAAATATTCCGCTTAGTAAGAACCTTGAGTACTTTTGGGGGATGACGTTGCTCGTTTTCTCGCGAGATCTGGCGACAACTAGTGGGCTGCTGGGGAACGGCTGCCAAGGAGACGGAGCAGGAGCTGACAGACAGACAGACAGGTCGAGCGCTCCGTGTTTACTGGCAGCAGCGCTGTGTTTACAGCAGCTACGCTCTCTAACATTCACCGACATTTACTGAGTTTGTTCTGAACCCGGCGGCTCCTTTCAGCCAAGATAGACGCGCTGGAACAGCCGAGAATGCCGAACATCAAGATATTCAGCGGCAGTTCTCATCCTGACTTATCGCAGAAGATCGCTGACCGCCTGGGACAGGAGCTCGGCAAAGTGGTCACCAAGAAGTTCAGCAACCAAGAAACATGGTGAGAGTCTCTTACTCGCTCATTAGACCCGTTTACTAGCTTTGGCGTAGCATGTTTTTGGGCAGAAAATAGCACCACATGGTCAACGTCCACGGCGCCACTCGCTAATGTTTTCGTTTTGAGTTTTGTAGTTTTTTGTGGCGACGACCGTCATCCCGCTCTGCGGAAACGCAGCGTCAGAGGACTACATTTCCCAGCGACGCGTTGCTCTGAACGCTAATGCTGTATTTAACCCACCCCCGTTTGGCTGCTCTCCACTTGTAAGGGGCTGAAACTCTATCACTTTCTCTCAAGCCCTGTTTTTATGCGGCCTGCTTATCTTTCTGCCCTGTAATGTCGTTTAAATGAGGGAGTATTACAAGAAATTATGCGCCTACGCGGCACAAAAGCGCTTGTTATGGTCAATGAAGGCATTCCGGACATGAGACCTTTTCTCATTTTCCTTTTAATGTTTCCCTTATGAGAAAAAAATGGTCTGCGCTGCAGTTCTGGTGTCAGTTTTAAACGCGAGGCTGAAATTGGCTTCCTCTGTGCCAGCATTTAAATACAATCTTCCGTTCCACCTTAAATGTGCAGCAGTTGCATTTTGGCGCCTGTTCATGTACATATAGCTGCTGCAGCATTTAAGGTGGAACGGCAAATTCGAAAAAGAAGCAAGCTTTGAAACTGACACCAAAGCTGCAATATCAGCAGAAATATGCCGTGGGAAAGTGGAAGATATATGGAGCATTTGGCTGCTTAAAATATCCCCACGCTGGCAGTGGCTGGGTGGTGTGTTTATAGTTGACATTTAGCCTCAGATAAGTCACTGCAGTGCTGAAGATAAGAACATCCAACAGAATTTAACCCCATTCACAGTTTTCTCTCTGCTTCAGAAAGTGTGCACAGTGCAATAATCAAAATCTCAATAGTCCACATACCAAGAACTGCTGAAACCTGATCAGAGTGAATAATGATGATCAATAGGTCAGTGATCGGTGGTTGCTGATCAACATGTTTTTATCTGTTTGTGTGTTTTTAGTGTTGAGATCGGCGAGAGCGTGCGCGGAGAGGACGTTTACATCGTTCAGAGCGGCTGTGGTGAGATAAACGATAACCTGATGGAGTTATTGATTATGATCAATGCGTGTAAGATCGCGTCAGCGTCCCGAGTGACCGCGGTCATCCCCTGCTTTCCCTACGCCAGACAAGACAAGAAGGATAAGGTGGGGGTGAGAGAACCTGCTTGCAGATTTTTACTAATGCACTACCTGAAGGCATGCACACCCACACAGACAGTGCTGTGCTGAAGTCTCTTCATTTCTTTAGTTATTTGTATCCCAAGCTGCCATTAGGTACAAGTTATTTATTATACAAATACAAATACACTTTTGCACAGTACTGTATGCATATATACACAAACATAGAGCTCATTTACTAATGATGATACTAATTAACCATAAACACTCTCACACACACTGACATGAAAAACTGGTAAAAAAAAAAGATGGATCCATCTGGGCTGCGTCTTCGTAAGTCTGTTTAGCTCTTTTGTCTCTCTCTCTCTCTTCCCTTCTCTCTCTCTCTCCCCCCTCTCTCTCTCTTTCTCTCTCTCCCCCTCTCTCTCTTTCCCCTCTCTCTCTCTCTCTCTCTCTCTCCCTGTTCCTCTCTCCCTCTCTCCCCATCTCTCTGTTGTCTGTCTGTCTCTCTCTCTCTTTCTCTTTCTCTCTCCCCCCTCCCCCCTCCCCCCCTCTATCTCTTCCTCTCTCTCTCTCTCTCCGTCTCTCTGTTGTCTGTCTCTCTCTCTCTCTCTCCCTCCCCCTCTCCCCCCTCTCTTTCCCCCTCTCTCTCTCTCTCTCCCCCTCTCTCTCTGTTGTTGTCTCTCTCTCTGTCTTTGTCTATCTTTATCTCTTTCTCTCTGTCTTTGTCTCCCTTTCTTTCTGTCTGTTTCTCTTTGTCACTCTTTCTGTCTCTCTGTTTCCCTCTGTCTTTATCTCTCTGTCTTGCTCTCTGTCTCTATTTCTCTCTCTCTCTCTCTGTTTTTGTCTTTCTCTCTGTCTGTCTCTCTATGTCTCTTTCTATCCTTTTCTTTCTCTCTCTCTCTCTCTCTCTCTCTCTCTCTCTCTCTCTCTCTCTCTCTCCTGTCTCAGTCTTGTTATGCATTTTGAGTAAATGAGTGCTCTTAGATTAGCGAGCATGGCTGAAAATTGATGAAGTGTGTTGGTCGTTTCATTAAAAGAGCTCATATCTTGGAAAATCTAGTTTTTCTCACTTTTTTGTAATAGAAGTCGATTTACTGTGAAAACATTAAAGAGCCCATATCATAGAAAACTGAGTTTTCCTTGCTTTTGTTTACAAATAAAACTATTTGATGTAGTTAAAAGTGTGTAACGTATTGTTTATTCCTCCATCCATACAGTACATTTGGAAACTAAGCTGCAAAAACAGCCCATTGTAATTCAATGAATGAGGCACAATGCAGGACAGCCAATCACAAAAGAGCTCATGTCCGTGTATCAGTCTCAAAGGCACAGTGACAAACAGCCTGTTTAATTGTAAGGGGTAAAGAGATGTTAGAAAATGGCCATATAAATATAATTTATGGTACATAAAACCTCACAGATGTTGAACTGGACCTCAGGGACAAACGAAAAACAAGAAGAATGTACATTATGGGCCCTTTAATATTTTAATAATGTTGTGTATTGTTTACTATAATGTTGATGTGTTGAATGTTTGTCTTACTGTCTGTTCCACAGAGTCGAGCTCCCATCTCGGCCAAGCTGGTGGCGAACATGCTGTCTGTAGCTGGAGCCGATCACATCATCACTATGGATCTGCATGCCTCTCAAATACAGGTACACTAACACCAGAGGGGCAAATCTGTGACCTCACAATGATTCAGTTTGATAATGATTCAGTAGGGAATGACTCGGTGTATCGTGAAATCTAAAATTTCGTCATGATTCAGTTTAGTTCAACCCAAATGTTAAGAAGAGTCATTTTGTCCTTTCAACAAAGATTTTACCACTTTGGAAGCCACAACAATTATGTACATTTTATTGAAGTAACATTTTACCATCTTGGCTGTAAATATGTCTCTGTGTGTGCTAATATCCTAACATAGACTAAAAAGTATAATATAAACAAAAAAGTAGACTTTTTTTGCTCTGCTTTAAGCTTTAGCTCAGCTATAGCCGCTTTTCTCGCATCTCCAGCAGGAAACCTTTCCCCAGTGTAGAATAGTTTCTTGTAAAATGTCGTATTTTCCTGTTCCACCTTAAATGGTGACTGAGGCGCCACAACTTAACTGCTGCTTCATTTAAGGTGAAACGGAAAAATTCTAACAAGAAGCTGGCAAACGAGAATCTGACTTCAGCCTTCCGAGTTTTTAGTGTTTGACAGTTTCTCGTTGCAGATTAAACGTATAAGGAAACCAGCTGGAGTGATTATAGATGCAAATAAGTCCATTCATCTATAGTGGACTTCAGCAGCACTGCTGTGTCTGATCCACTCAGACCTGCACAACACACACTAACACACCACCACCACATCAGTGTTACTGCAGTGCTGAGAATGACACACCACCCAAATAGTACCTGCTCTGTGAGGGTCCATGGGGGTCCTGACCACTGAAGAACAGGGTAAAAGGGGGCTAACAAAGTATGCAGAGAAACAGATGGACTACAGTCTGTAACTGTAGAACTACAAAGTGCACCTATATAGTAAGTGGAGCTGATAAAATGGACAATGAGCGTAGAAACAAGGAGGTGGTCATCATGTTATGCCTGATTGGTGTATGTACGAAACACCTAACTGGCGTTTGTGGATGCAGCAGTCGGTGGTGTGTATTGACAAGTTTGTCCATGTTCCCCCGAGCCCATGTGGTGATATCCAACAAAGAAACATAGCGGTTTTTAATATGCTGCCTGAGAGGTCAAAGGTCATGGCCATTTGGTTGTGCTCTTAACACACATTTGTTTCTCTGGATTTTCTTCTTTTTTAATGTTATTTTGCAAAATCCTAAAATTCCTGCAGTGACTTATTGAGGAACAATAAACTGTTTTATTATTTGTTGATGCATTTTTGGCAAAGTGGCGATCCTCCACCCGCCTGGTTGCTCATTTTAAATCCAAGCATTGCAATAAAATATATAACATTTCACAATGTTTCTTGTCTTAAATTGCCTCAGTATGTTTTAAAATGAGCGTATAATTTAAAAAACTGAAGTTTGATTGGGTAAAACATTATATATCTTCTCATTGCACTGCTTTTATTTAAATACAGGTCAAAGTGGATTTACAAATCACTGCTTTCTGTTTTTATTTGCATTTTATCTACTTTCCCAACTTGATACTGAAGTGTGTAGTAAATTCTAACTGTCTGAGATCAGTGCAGTTGAATCACCACCTTCACATGTATTTTACACCTATATAACACACACAGATGGTGTCCATGGACGTTTGAGGTGACCGTGTTGGTGTTGTGTCTGTGTGTCCAGGGGTTTTTTGATATTCCAGTGGATAATCTGTACGCTGAGCCTGCCGTTCTGAAGTGGATCAAAGAGAACATTAACGAGTGGAAGAACTGCACCATCGTCTCTCCTGATGCAGGCGGGGCCAAGAGGTGTGTTCTCACCTTAACTCTCTCTCCCTCTGTAACTTTCTCTTTCTCTTTCATCTCTCCCGTTTTGCTTGCTTTTTCTTTCTCTCTCTCTCTCTCTCTCTCTCTCTCTCTCTCTCTCTCTCTCTCTCTCTCTCTCTCTCTCATTTTTCTTTTACTCTCTCTCCTACCTCTCTCACACCACTTTTTTGATTTTTTCCTCTCTTTCTTTCACATCTTTCGTTCATTCTCTCTTACTTTTTGCCCTTGCTCGCTCCTATCTCTCTCCCTGTTTCTCTTTCTTTCTCTCTCTCTCTCTCTCTCTCTCTCTCTCTCTCTCTCTCTACTTTCCCATGAGCACTCCTCAGTTTTGCTCTTCAATAATTCTTTTTTTAGCCTTCTTTTATCTTTTCCCTCTTTTAACAGTTTTAAGTGATTATTTTTAGTCTTTTGTACCTCTTTGTTGTATTTAGATTAACAAAAGCTTCATCCGAGCAGCAGTAACTCATTTCTGTTTCTGTAATGTTTGTAAACCTTCGGTGTTCTTTTCGATACAGTAGAAACAGGGTCGTCACTTTTAAAGCCTCCCAACAGAGTCTTTGTCCACAGAGGGTGAAAAGGTGCTACTGATCAAAACAGGGTCCCAAAAATGTGTGCTGTGTCCCACATTTACAGAGAGGGTGTCACTCACTGAGCACGTTTACATAAACTTAATAATCCAAAAACTGCAGAAAATCAGATTTTAATCTGATTAATGCGTTTATGTGCACTTGAGTAATCAGATAATGGGGAAACTCCAGGTCTACGTGAGTCAGACAGTAATCAGATTTCTGCTTTGCAACCAGCCAATAAACTCACAGAAGAAGACGTGATGTAAACGTAACGTAAACTCAAACTTCATGCTGCGGCTTTTTTTAAAAACATCACAACACTTTAACTTAAAATATGAGCATACATCATCTAGAAGATGAAGAATATTTAAATCCTTCATTTCATCAAGATGTAGTCGGTTTCAGCGTCGCTCGAAAGGTGTTTTGCTGCGTCTCGCAGTGGCGCTGCTCACTTATTTCCAGTACCGCCGTCTGTTTTTGCTCATGCTCAGACTGAGAAATCTGAAAGAAATTAGAGTAAGAGTTTACACTGAGAAATCTGATTACTGAGCTAAAATCCAGCCTCTTTATCAGATTTCTTAATCAGATTTCTAGACCTTACTCAGATCTAAGAAATCAGAGTTTGCTGTTTACATGATTTGAATAATCAGATAACAGCAAGAATCTGACTGTGATTTGATTATTGAATGCATGTAAACGTACTCAGTGGCTCTGAGATGCAGTTGCTCACCAGCACCATCTGCTGGACAAAACCACAGCTGGAGGGCTTTTAAAGTGATAGTTTGATGAAAGATCAAATTTATACAATTTTCCCATTACCACATATTAATCGATCTGCCAAGAAACTTCTAGTTTTGCACTGGAGCTGCGAGGCTAATGTAGCTAACGAGTAATGGAACCGTAAACTCCACCAGTTGTCTTGGCTGGATCGCTGTATTTGGGGTAGGTGGGAAAATTGGGTAAATCTGATTTTTCACTGAAGTATCGCTTTAAGTGAAACGAAAGTGGACATGAGTGTATTTTGTTCCCTTTAGGTGTGGAGGGTAAGAGACTGCGGTGTGAATTTGTGAGATTGTTTCACTTTGTCAAAAAGATTTTCTAATGGTAGAAGAAGGTTTGGGTTTTTGGCCTTTGGCTAACAGTGTATGGCTTCAGAAGCTGTTCTGTTCAGTCTAAATCTGCAAACACTGCTAATATTCGTCCAGCGGCTCTTGTGTTCAAAGCCCAGCTGTGTCACTCCCTTGTAAATGCAAGCACTCAACCATGTGGGTGTCATTAGGTTGCGTCTACAGAGAATCACTGAGCTGCCTGACCACTGAGAATGCATGACTAGTAGTGGTGCCCGTCCACTATGGTGACTGACTACCACCAACATCAGAACAAATCTGAAGTACTGTGCAAAACATTATTTAATTTCCAGTCAAAACAGCAACTACATACAAGTCATTCATTTTCAGTAGATACACTATATGGACAAAAGTATTGGGACACGTACAGCTTTTATGAATCCCATTCTAAATCCATAGGCATTAATATGGAGTTGGTCCCCTTTGCAGCTCTAACAGCTTCCACTCTTCTGGGAAGCTTCCTACAGATGTTGGAGAGAGTCTGTGGGAATTTTTGTCCATTCATCCAGGAGAGCATTTGTGAGGTCAGACACTGATGCTGGACGAGAGGGTCTGGCTCACAATCTCCGTTCTAGTTCATCCCAAAGGTGTTGGATGGGGTTGAGGTCAGGGCTCTGTGAGGGCCAGTCAAGTTCTTCCACACCAAACTCATCCAGTCAGGCCTTTATGGAGCTGCTTTGTGCACTGGGACTCAGTCATGCTGGAACAGAACAGGTTCTTCCCAAAACTGTTCCCACAAAGTTGGAAGCGTACAATTGTCCAAAATGTCTTGGTGCTGAAACATTAAGGTTCCCCTTCACTGGAACTAAGGGTTCTAGACCAACCCCTGAAAAACAACCCCATATCATCATCCCTCCTCCACCAAACTTTACAGCTGGCACAGTGCAGTCAGGCAGGTAACGTTCTCCTGGCATTCGCCAAACCCAGACTCGTCCATCAGAATGACAGATAGAGAAGCTGATTCATCACTACACTGAAACCGTTTCCACTGCTCCAGAGTCCAGTGGTGACGGCTTTAAGAGGGGTGTTCCAATACTTTTCTTTGTATAGTGTATATGTGAGGAGATTAGATATAAGATAATCCACATGCATAGGGAAGGAGAAAGTCAAATGAAAAGTTAAAAAACAGAAATAAAAAAAAAGATTAAAATAATTAAAAGCTACAAAGAAAATGTGGCTCCTAACAACCACCTGGAAGACCTGGCAGACACCAGATCTGTCCTCATCAGATAAACAGCACTTAAAGCTTTCATCTTTGAGAGATTTGGGATTACTTGGACTGTGAGAAGCAGAAAAAGTTAAGCCAACTTCTAAGACTGAACTTTGGAGGTGTGTCTGCAGATTTCTTTGAGAAACAAAGTGAGTCTCCTGAAAAGAATGGAAGCTGGAATAAAGGTAAAGAGTGACACACAAAGTACAGAAAAATGATATATGTAGTTGTTGAGACCTCTGTGTAATTTTCTGTTAAATAAATGTTTCTGCTTTTTTCTTGATTCTGAAAAATCTGTACCTTGGCTGTTGTGACTGTAAATTAAATGAATGAATGATGGCATTTGCACAGTATTATACTTTTAAAACAATATTAAGTTTAAGTTTAAATGTTGCCTACATCAAGGCAGACGGAGGCTACTTTGAATAATCTAAAGCAGAATATAGTTTAGAGTTATTTTTTTGTTTACTGCAAAATTCTGTATGTGTTATTTCATAGTTTTGACATTTTTGTTGTTACTTTGAAATATAAAAAATAGTAAAAATACAGAAAAATGCTTCCAAATAGGTATATTCAAACTTTTGCATGGTACTGTATGTGTAGTGTTTACATTAAAATAACCTTTATAATCAAGGTAATAATCATATCACAGCATAAACATAGCTTTACTCTAACTGTATTAACAGTTTGAGTGTGGATGTTCTGTGTGGAGGGTGCCGCACGCTCTAATGCCTTTACATGAATATTACACACTGCAGCCCTTATTTAAGAGGCTTCATGGGTTTGTTTTGTTGCGTTTTGTTGAATGTCTGAAGTGCTGATGAACCTTCTGTGTGTAGGTTTGGCTTTTCTGATGTTCTCTGTATGATAAACTGCTGAATTGAAGTGGATATGATTGTGTGATTGTAGGGTGACGTCCATAGCGGATCATCTGAATGTGGACTTTGCTCTGATCCATAAAGAGAGGAAGAAGGCCAATGAAGTTGACCGCATGGTTCTGGTCGGAGATGTTAAAGACAGAGTGGCCATCCTGGTGGACGACATGGCAGATACATGTGGCACGATCTGCCATGCAGCGGACAAGTGAGGATATGCACACACACATATGTACGCTACAGATCAAACATTGAATAAATAAAATAAATAAATATTAATAAATAATATTAATGAATAATAAAGACAGCTGTGTTACAGACAAATATATATATGATAATAACATGCTGCTGGTGATCTAGAACTTCATATCTTTCAAGTAACTAGTAAGAACCTGTACAAAATATGTTCAATGTGTCCAGAATAAAGAACAGAGCTTTATAAGGTTCTAAACTAATTGAGAAAGCTGAAGAACATCAAGAGTGAAGGTCTAATAAATTAATATCCAAAATGAAGTTCTAATAAAATGAATATCCAAAATGAAGTTGTAATAAAACGAACATCCAGAATGAAGTTCTAATAAAAGGAACGTCCAGAATGAAGTTCTAAAGAAAATAATATCCAAAACGCTTCATAATTCAGAAGTGATCAAATCTTGAGGCAAGTTCTAGAAATAGATAAATACAATATAGCATTTATCAGTTTGTAATACTTTGTTGTTCCCAAGATTTTTGAAAAAACAAATAAATATATAATATAGTTTACAATATTAATTTCTTTATTTGTACAAGTTATTGTTGTATAATTTACGGTAATTTCCAGACAAAAGTAGCAACATGTGAAAAATACTGAATTTGTGACGATCTTGTTGATGGTCCTCAAAACTTTGCATACATGGTCATAACTTTGTATCTCTTTCTCGTCCCCGCAAGTATAGTACATCAATATTGTGTGTGTTGTCCTATATTAGGTTGGTCTCTGCTGGAGCGACTAAAGTCTACGCTATTCTGACTCACGGCATCTTCTCTGGACCTGCAATCTCTCGCATAAACAACGCCAACTTTGAGGCTGTGGTGGTCACCAACACTATTCCACAGGAGGACAAGATCAAACACTGCAACAAGATACAGGTATAAAACCTCAGGACTGGAGTGTTATCCTGATACACTTTTCATCCTAGGTTGATGTTTAGTAATAGTTGATATGCTCTGTTTTTAGCATAAATAGTATATATTTACAGTATTAGTATCTCTGATGAAGACAAAAGAGTTATTGTGGTGAAACATGAAAGTATATAAATAGTGTTTTCAATTAGATATAAAAAACGAATATACAAAACAGCGAACAGTAACTAATTTTGCTTACTGTCCTGCTGGTTTGAGGTGTTCTTAGTGAACAGCTAGACTTCTTCTCCCACACGGCATACTAGTATAACTAGTATACTGAAGTAGCAACTCTTCAAATTTGATGCCTTTATTGCTAATAATTGATTGTGGAGCAGAACAAAATAATGATTAGGTCAAAAATACCTCAAACGTGCTTTATTAATACTAGAAAATTCTTCTGATTATTAGTATTACTGTTTTATTGCTAGGCCTGGTTCCCTGAGCCCTGGAGCTAAACCTTAGGAAGAAAGATCTTAGAACAGGATTAGAACTAAACCCCCCAGGAGTGAAACTGCAGGGGAGGTAGAACCCAAGCAGCAGGGTTAGGCTCTAGAGCTGTATCAAACAGCATTTGTTAAAATTATCCAAAAATATTGTATAATGTATTTAATCATGTAATACGCTACTACAGACCCTGCCTGTTTGGTGCAGCAGCTCATTCACTTGAAACCCATTGTACAGTGTGTTTACCATGCTTGCTGTTTGCAAAATCAGCAGCTGCTGAACGCTAGTCATGGTCTGGTCTTGCTGTTTTGGCCACTGTGGTCGGCCTGTAGACCAAACAGCCTGGGAATGCACTGAGGTTAGAGATAAAGATGGGCTTGTGGTTTACTAATAGGCAAAATCTGACCATCTGTCCAGAGAAAGAGACCCAACAGCCTTGTGTTGCAAATTCCAATCTAGAATAAACTCAGACAGCACAAGATACTGGTTAAAAACACACATCTGTTTTGCTCAGAGGGCTCATTTGTGCTGAAAACAAATGCGTTGTACTAGATTCACAGCTATATCAAATACATTATTTTCGTTATTGTTTTTCATTTTTTGACATAATAGTAAAACACCAGCTGCCCTTTACATTGTGTGATAGTTTCTTGATGAATGGACCAATAGAAATGGTCTAGAATTGCTAGGAATGAAATCTTGTTGGACATCCCGTTCCAAAACCCTCAATAACACATAATGCATTGTTGCAGAGTTGGTCCCCTTTGCAGCTATAACAGCCTCCACTCTTATGGGAACCCATACAGTCAAAACAGCATTTGTGAGATCAGACACGGGCTTGCAATTGATGTTCCACTTGGTCCCAAAGGCTGTCAGTGGGGTTGAGGTCAGTCAGGGGCTCAGTCATGCTGGAACAGGAAAGGATCTTCCCCAAACTGCTGACACCAAGTTGGAAGCATATAATTGTGTAGAATATCTTTGTAGACAGAGGATAGACACTGTGAGCTTCAGCACTTGGCAGTTCCACTCTGTGAGTTTGGTGGTCTATCGCTTCGTGGCTGAGCTGTTGTTGCTCCTAGACGCTTCCATTTCACAGTAATAGCACTTACAGTTGTCTGGGGCAGAACTAGCAGCACAGAAATCTCACAAACTGACTTGTGGCAGAGGTGACATCCTATGACAGAGCCATGTTTAGAGTCACTGAGCTCATCAATACGACCCTCTACTGCCAGTGTTTGTCTGTTGAGACTGCAAGGCTGTGTGCTTAATTTTATACACCTACTAGAAATGGGTGTGGCTGAAACACATAAACTCAGTAATTAGGAGGAGTGTCCACATACTTTTGGCCATATAGTGTATGTATGTATGTATGCATGTATATGTCTACTTATGGGCTGAACTGATGTTATAATAGACTCTCTAGGATGTTTATTGTTTGTGTTGTTTGCTCCGCCCCACTGCAGGTGATTGACATCTCCATGATCCTGGCAGAGGCAATCCGGCGAACCCATAACGGAGAGTCTGTGTCCTACCTGTTCAGCCATGTACCTTTATAACGCACACACACACACACACATACATACACACACACACACACACACACACACACGCTCCCTTGTGCGTTTTCTGTTCGCTATTTGTGAGCAAATATAAAATAAATACAAATACGCAACTCATCATTTTACAAACTCTTCACTGCCATCAGCTTCATGTACTCTAATAACCATGGATTGTACCTGCTAATCCACTGAGCATTGCTTGAACATTTATCCAAACAATCTACAGTCATTTAGTTTCATTACTGAGTGTTCCGAAGATCTGAATATTATCCAAACTCTGCCCACAAATGTGTTGTTTCATAGCTACTGTAGTGATGTAGTTATTTACAGTACCTACATTTAGAGCCGGTTATTCATTCAGCCTAATGAGAAACTGTAGAACAGACTCGGTCTATATCACAATACCTACATTTAGAGTCGGTTATTCATTCAGCCTAATGAGAAACTGTAGAACAGACTCGGTTTATATCACAATACCTACATTTAGAGTCAGTTATTCATTCAGCCTAATGAGAAACTGTAGAACAGACTCGGTTTATATCACAATACCTACATTTAGAGCCAGTTATTCATTCAACCTAATGAGAAACTGTAGAACAGACTCAGTTTATATCACAATACCTACATTTAGTCTGTTCTACAGTTTCTCATTAGGCTGAATGAATAACTGACTCTAAATGTAGGTATTGTGATATAACTACATCACCACAGTAGCTGCTTCACATTTCTGGGTGGATGCATGAATAACTTACTGGAAATCTCATCGTATGTGAAATAATGTTGGGTGTGTGAGCCACATTAGCAGAATATGGGTCTGTTACATTATGTAATCACCACGCATCAGCCTGTTACACTAAAGCCAGAAAGTCCTGCTACGATAAACAGGTGGCATTGCGATATTTTAGCCACAGTTGTAGTGAATATTGCTGCGGCAGCTGAATTTCTTTGTAAATCTTATACGGATATACATCATGTTTTTTTTCCATTCTTGCTTTTCTCAGAGTATGAACTGTTTTCTGTGCGGTACGTCGCTTTAATAAGGTTTCCTCTTGGCTACTGAAGATTCAGGGAGTTCTAAAAGTGTAAAGTAAGATGAAGCGCAGAGGACTTTATTTTTATATTAGTACGTCGTTCTGATGTTTCTGAATGTTTGTTTTGTGTGAATGTTTGTGTTTACAGTCATGCAGTTTTGAGGCTGCGTGAGGACAGATCTGTTCTGAAGTGCCCTTCAGTGTTCATTAACCACACAAACACAAGCTGGAGCAAATAGGTGGTGTTAAAAAGGGCCTCATATATCAATGTTATGTTCCTTTCTGCTGTTTCTCTGTGCAGAAGTCGTAGATCACTCTTCCAGTCAGCCATTAAGTACAAGTTATTCAGTTTTCAGCGGCAGGAAAAAGGGAACAGAAAATCACACAGAAGCATCAACGAATAAATATAATGCAGTTGTTCAGAGTTCAGTGAGTCACTCTTCACCTTTATTCCAGCTTCCCTTGTTTTCAGGAGACTCACTTTCAGTTCCTGAAAGAATCTGCAGACACGCCTCCAAAGTTCAGTCTTAGAAGCTGGTTGATCATTTTCTGAAGTAATCAATCACATTCAGTGATGTCGAGGACTGGACTCTGGGGTGGTCAATCCATCGTTCAGCTTCTTTGTTTGATGTGTCCGTCTCCTTTTCTCAGTGAGGTTCTTCTTGACAGCTACACATCCTTTCAGACCCATAGCGCTGAGTCGTCTTCTCACAGTGGAAGGATGGACAGAAACACCTGTGGATGTTTTCAGATCTGAAGCAGCTTGATTTTCTCCTCTCTCTCAAAGATGAAAGCTTTAAGTGCAGTTTATCTGATGGGGGCAGTTTTGGGGTCTAGCAGGTCTTCCAGGTGGTTGTTAGGAGCCCCGTTTTCTCTATAACGTCAGTTTTGGAAGCTCCTGTTTTTCACTTAGATTTTCTCCTTCATTATTCAAGCGGATTATCTCATATCTAATCTTCTCAAAAATCTCCCAAAACGTGAATAACTTGTACATAATAGCTGTTTTGACTGGAACCTAATTGAAGGAAGGGTCTCTGACTTCTGCTCAGAACTGTATGTCTGAGTTTTTCCATTCATTTGATCACTTTTCCTTTTCATGATGAAGGGTGTTCTGTTTTTTCCTGAAGAGAGGAAGACAGTCTTTATTTAATTGGTCAAAGCCTGTTGCCTTAAAAGAGTGTTGAAGGAAGTGTGGGTGGAGCCTCTGCTCCACCAATCAGAGTTCAGATTGTATTTGCGCCTGAATGACAAATAAATCATCTCAGATTTATGACTGCACCATGTCTCCATGTTGTGGGAGCTGCTTTAATGAGTTTGCACCATAAAAAAATCATAATATCTACATGACTGCTGTCTTCAGTATGAGAGAGAAAAGAGGAGTGATGGAAACTGTTCTTTAAACTTTCATTATGGTTCTAGATTTGATAGATCAACACAGTTATGGTGTGTTAAAGGGGAATTACACAGATTTTTAACACATCTTTATACTCATATACTTTATACTCAGATGTCTTTACAGTGGTGGTGATAGGAACCTGGAGTCGCCATGACTACAACTCAAATATAGACCAACTATCCAAAACCACCAGTGAACCTACACGAGTCTTCTGAGTTTATATGGAATGTTGATGATGGAAAATAGTGGACAATCTGAAGTTGGGGAATGTTTTGCCTCACAATGCCCTGCATATTTCCCTCCACCATTAATAGATTTTAAAAAATACGTTTTAAATCAAAATCTTCTCAAAATAACATAAAACAGACGTCAGGCAGTGAATTCATTACCATTTCATGTAGTAACTGTCTGTGAGGGAGCTTTTAGAGGTGGACGTCTGGTTCCTATCACCACCACTGTGAACAGTTCTGACTCTGTAAGTTTCTCTAGAACAGAGCGTTTCACACCAAACCACTCTGAACGACTCTGTTTACATCTCAACCAGTTAATGATTCAGAAATTTTGTACATTTTTATAAATAGTATGTCAGAAACCACATAAGCATGTCTATTAGAGATTACTAAGTAACTCAATACTGTTTGAGTCAAATGCAAATTGGTGGGCTTATTGGTGGGCTATACACTTCCATTACTTGTTAGCTATGTTAGCTTGTTACCTGTATAGCTCTAATGTTAAAGATAAGAGGCGAAGTTCAGACACACAACATGTCTTGGCTGATTGACTAAATTTGGGATCAGAGGGGAAAATGTGTAAATTTGATTTTTGGTTGGACTGTCACTGTAAGGTCTGTACTGTGATCCTAAACCATCCACTCTTAAAAAAGATGGTTCTTCAGGGGTTCAGATTGATGGAGAATGTGTTGTATGTGCTTCTAAAAAAAGGGTTCTGCTACTGTTAGGATGTCAAGCTTGAAACAGTATCGGAACCCTTTTTGTTGCTGTATAGAACCATTTTCAAACATGGCCTAGAACCATACGTAAAATATTCTCCAACAATCTGAAGAACCATGTCACCATGCAAAGAACCATTTAAACATGAAACGGTTCTATATGGGACTCATGGTCTAAATAGAACCATTCCTTTTCCTAAAGAACACTTAGAACCATCTTTTTTAAGAGTGTAGACCAGTGGTTTTCATCCAGTGGGCTGTGGTGGTACTGTTAGGGGGCTGTTGGTAGACATTTCTTATATACATATACATATATCTATATATTTAACAGTACCCATCATTTTATATATGACATATTTTATTGTTTTGATCGTATCATATTCATCACGGATCAACAAATTTTTACAATTTTTATGGTGTTTATGTCGTTTCATTAAACAGTCAAGTAAAATTTGATAGGATACATTAAATTCAGTTCAATTCAAAAGTATTTGTATAGTGCTTTTCACAGTTGCTGTTAAATCTTCTATCTTCTTGTGGGCAGTGAAAGCTTTTGTGGTCAGTTTTGTGGGCTGCCCCTGCTGTAGACCCTAGGGGCTAAAGCTGACTTCTCACTGGAATTTCCCGTTCCACCTTAAATAGACGCGACCTGCAGTTGGTCACATCTTTCATTAACATTGATTAATGAAAATGAAAATGGCAGATTAAATCATTTAAAACATAATTGGATGAATTTGTATTTCAAATTAAAAAAAAAAAAGACAGTCTAAGGCAAAAGCGTGAGTGTTAAAGGGCTCATATCCTGGAAAACCATGTTTTTAATATTTAATTTGGTAAACATTGTTGAAGTTCCAAAATGTACCGTTTACTCCCCACTTCATACAGTCAGTATATGAAAAATAAGCTGCAAAGCTGGCTTCTTCTGAATCTATTATTTTTTGTGACGTCACCAAAAAACAGCACATTTACGTAGATCCACCTACTCAGCCTACAGCAGTTTAGACCCGCCCATTTATAATTAAAACACACATATAACTGTAGTAAATGGGCCTTTTAATCAAACTGGTTCAGGAGTTATTTGGCGCTACAACCACAAGGTGGCGCCAAATGATCGTTTTATAAGACATTGTACTACATTCTTCATCTTCTTATTGTTCTTCTTTTTCTCATTATTATTATTATTATTATTATTATATTATAAGTATGTTATATATGTAAGTGTTATAAAAATATTTTGTTATTTTTACTATTATTAGTAGCATTTTTTTCTCTTGTTGATAACAATACTAACACTACCGCGAGCCTAATTAATACTAATGATAACATACAAGGTCGAACATTATTAATATTATTATTAAAAATATTTTTTTATTAAAATATCATAAAAGTTATTTTATATGTACAGGGTTACAAATAGTATTTCTTTCACACTTTAAAAAGATGGTTCTTCAGGGGTTCTTCAGTAAAGAAAATGGTTCTATATAGAACCATGAACACTCAAAGAACCCTTTGCATGATTAAAGGGTTCTTTGCATCGTTAAAGGGTTCTTCAGACTGATAGTGTATTTTTTGTGGTTCTATATACAAACTTTTTAAAATTGGTTCTATATAGCACCAAGAAGTGTTCATCTATTGTTAAAGACTTGACATTGTAACAATAGAAGAACCCTTTTTGCTTCTATATGGAACCCTTTTCAAAAAGGTTCTAGATAGAGCTATCTACAGCACATTCTCCATCAATCTCAAGAACGTTTTTCATTACACAAAGAACCCTTTTGTGGGTTCATGGTCTTATATAGAACAATTCTCTTTACTAAAGAACCTTGAAGAACCAACATTGTACACTCTTAAAAATGATGGTTCCTTAAGTGTTCTTTAGTAAAGGGAATTGTAGGAACATTTGCAGGCTTAAATGGTTCTTTGCTTAGTGAAATGGCTCTTCAGATTGATGGAGAATGTATATAGCTCTACATAGACCCTTTTTGAAAATGGTTCTAGGTTGCACCAAAAATGGTACTGCAATTGTTATAAAGTTGACATCATAACAACAGCAGAACTCTTTTTGGTGCTATACAGAACCATTTTCAAAAGATACATATTCTCCATCAATATGAAGAATGATTTAGCCATATAAAGAACCATTTAAGCTTCTAAAGGGTTCTTTGAGTGTTCATGACTCTATATAGAACCACTGTCTTTACTAAAGAACCCTTGAAGAAGCACCTTTTAAAGAGTGTAGCAACAGACAAGGAAGTGGATAATTATTAAGTCTGAGGTCCAAAAACTGCCTATAGAACCTCAGCGGAACCTGTGTAGTACCTCCTGCGTCTGTCAGCACAGACACAGCCAGGCTGGACCGTTTAAGGTGGAGCAGGAAATCTGACAGAGAAGCTGGTGTTTGCTGGACAAGGTGTTGGGGGGGTTAGAGGGGGGTTTTGTCTGAGGTCTGGGGGTAAAAAGGGCACCTTCAGCCTGGAGCTGCAGGCCGGACACCTGCCCACCGCTCCGCAGCTGAAGAGTGATCTTTACTGACCAGCAGCTCCAGAGCTGTTTACTCTGTTTAAGGCCTGCTGTGGTCAGTCTGATCACTGCAGCTGTACCTGTGTGTTTGTATTGGGTATTAATTTAAATAAGTAATATAAACACATATAAACACATATAAACATGCACAGGAGATTATTATTATTATTATTATTATTATTATTATATAAAACAAATTATGTTTACACTATGTCTACAAATTACACTGTAATAAATGTTGTTTGTTATTTTACTATTACTATTGTTTTGTCTCTTGTTGCTCATAACAATACAATACTACTACTACTAATTATTATTATTATTATTATTATTATTATTATTATTATTTTGTCATATAAAGCCTAGATCATGTTTATAATGTTATTATATAATTGGCATTTATTACACTATTATAAATATTGTTTATTTTTACTGTTACTGTTGTTTGTCTCTTGTTGCTCATAATAATAACAATACTACTACTACATTATTATGATTAAATATGTTATATAATTGTTATAATTATGTTATTGTAGTGTTAAAGTAATATTTAGTTTTACTATTATTAGTATCTTTTTTCTCTCTTGTTGATAATAATAATAATACTGCGAAAATTATTAATGCTGATAATAACAAACAATGATTTAACATTATTTATGAAAAATATTATTAAAAATATTCTTATTAAAATGTCATTAAAGCTGTTGTTATATTGTATGTATAGTGTTACGTATTAAAAAGATGGTTCTTCAAGGGTTCTTTAGTAAAACAAATGGTTCTATATAGAACCATGAACACTCAAAGAACCCTTTGCATGATTAAAATGTTCTTTGCATGTTGAAATGGTTCTGTAGATTGATGGAGAATAGAACCTTTACGTAGAACCTTTTTGAAAAGGGTTCTATATAATAGATATAATAGATAATAATAATAATAATAATAATAATAATAATAAAAGCCTACTGACATAGGCTCGCGCTCCGGGATTTTCCAGTCAAACTCGTGCGCGCGAGACGTATCATTGCTCCGTTATCACGCTGCACTATTTACGGAGCGATTGTGTGTGCGCGCGCGACCGCGTCTCACTTTGGCACTCACGCTCCGACACATTCCACAAGAGAACTTGCTGCTCGAGCGCGTTCCACTGATTATAACAGAGAGAGAGGGGGAGAGCGCGCGGATTTAAGGGCTCGTGGCTTGCTTTCGGCGCGCGGGGAGAAGGTGGAGGGAGTGGGGGAGTAGGGGGCACGCGGGAGTGACGAAAGAGGAGGAGGAAGATTTTGGGGAAGGAGTGCAGATTTAAAAAGGAGGAGAGAAGAAGGAGAGAGAGGAAGAGGGAAAGAAGAGGAGAGAGGAGGAAGAGGTCCGAGCTCTGATTGGACGCCCGCAGAGCGGAGAGAGTGAATAGACGCTCCTGATTGGCTAGCGAGGCGAGTTCAGCGTTCAGTGTTAATCTCTGAAATAAGTGAGCGGAGTTTCAGCTCCTCCGCGCGGAACCGAGGAGCCTCAGCGCCATGGAGTGAAAACCAGGTACAGATTAATAACCATTATTATCACTATTATCAGGATTAATATTTTACTGCTCGAGCGAAAAGGAGGGCGCGCGCAGTTCGCCGTGATAGCAGATTTCCTGCTCTGCCTGTAAATCTCTGCTGTTGGACGTCATTGTTGATGGATCTGACCTTTGCGCACGTGCTGAAATTAATGACTGATTTATTGATTATTGATTACTGCGCGCGCTCCTTTTTCTCCGTGGCTGAAAATGTAAACAGATTGAAAGAGCTCTGATAATAATGAGTATTGATTATTATTCATTTACATTTTCATTAACGGTCTGAATGTGTTTAATGTGTGCGTGTGTGTCCAGCGCGCGCGCCGTGTGTCCGGGCTGTAACATGGCGGACGGCTTTCAGGAGCAGCTGCAGGTAAAAGAAACCCTAATATTAATATTAAATATTATTATTAATAATAATATTTACAGACTAATACGCTGATATTAACGCTCACAAACAGCTGCGCACTTAAATTATTAGTTTATCATTAATTTGATATCATTTACAAAGCGTTTAGACTAATAACTCCATATTTGCATATTTACCATAATATTTATATTAATGTTGTTTTAAAAAGTATATTCAAATTTATTAATCTGTTGCGAAAAATTGAGATTACCGAAAGTATAATTATTATTATTATTAATATTATTATTATCATTATTAATATTAAAATGATCAGGGGTTCATCAGTAAAGGGAATTTATTATATTATATTATATTATATTATATTACATTATATTATGTTATATTATATTATATTATATAGGTCATGTTTGTTTTACAGGATTGTATTTTTTCTGAATAAAAATATCAATGTATCCAATAACATGATTAACAACATCACCAACAAAAATAAAAGTAATAATAACCGTTATAACAAACATAACAACGACTAAGAGCCATAATGAACACTAACACTTTAAAACGCGGTTCTTTAGTAACAGCAATGGTTCTACAGCCTATAGAACCACGACCATTCACAGAACCACTGGGTATTGGCATGGTTAAATGGTTCTTCTCTCTATATAAATACAGTTCTGTATGGATCTTTGAAGAACCCCCTTTTAAAATTGTTCTATATAACACCTAAAAGGGTTCCACTGTCTATTCTATGAGTTCTATGAGTCAAAGAACCCGTTTTTAGTAGGATATAGAACCCTGAGAGTGTAAGAATAAGAAAATAATACTGCCTGCTACCACTACTAATAATGATAATAATTATAGTAATGAAATAATAATTAGAAGACTAAGACTAAGATTAAGACTAATAGCAATAATAATGTCATGGTAATAATATAAAAGCACAACGACAACAAAAATGAGGTTTTAAAATTATTTTCAGTGCTGTTCATTCTTATAGTCTTTCAAATGAATAATTTCATATCTATCTGTTCGTGTTTATATGTAAATAACTGGCACGTTTCCCCTGATTTTAATAACGGTTCTAATCTAGAGCGTCTTATCACTGTAGGCTGGTTCAAACGGTCATTAATGACAGGCCAGGATTTTTAGTCCTAATGGTTCAAAGGTTTTTGTTCAGCACTGATTTCTAACAGCGTTCAGACACTTCTGTGAATTTACACCATTTTTTAAATAAAAAAAAATAATAACGTAATAAAGGTTAAATATATCAATCAATCTATTAGCTGCCAGTCAATCAGTCCGTCAGTCAGCTGTCATGCTAACCCTGCTGTCTCTCGCGCAGGGCCTCGAGGGGGTTAAAGTTCACCTCCACGAGCGCGAGCTGTGGCGGAAGTTCCATGACGTCACCACGGAAATGATCATCACGAAAGCGGGAAGGTGAGAGTTTTAACGGGGAACTCCACCCGCTTTTCAGAATTACTGCTGCAGCATTAAAAAGTGGAGATGTGAACAGAGTCAGAACTGTTCACAGTGGTGGTGATAGGAACCAGACGTCCACCTCTAAAAGACTTATGTCTGAGACATTTGTTTATGATAGTTTTGAGACGATTTTAATGTAAAATACTGTTTTTAATACATTTGTGGAAGAGGGGTTCATGCAAAGTCCCCAAGGAAACTTTCTGAGCCAAAAAGAATTAATTTTACATATAATTACTGCTATTTTATCATCATCAACACTCCATATAAAAGCTCAGAGGACTCGTGTCGGTTCATTGGTGGCTTTGGATGGTAAAGATGGTTCAGATGTCTTTACAGTGGTGGTGATAGGAACCAGGGGTCGCCATGACTACAACACAAATATAGACATTTTATTTACTATCCAAAACCACCAGTGAACCTACACGAGTCTCCTGAGTTTATATGGAATGCTGATGGTGGTAAATCTGGAAAAATAAGTTTCCTTTGGGGACTATTTTGCCTCAAAATGCTTTGCGTGTCCATTCACCATGAGTTTACTTTAAAAATACATTTTAGGACCAAAATCCTCTCAAAGCTAACATAAAACAGTGTCTCAGTCATCAGGCAGTGAATTCATAACCATTTCATGTAGTAACTTTCTGTGAGGGAGCTTTTAGAGGTGGACGTCTGGTTCCTGTCAACACCACTGTGAGCAGTTCTGACTTGGTAAGTTTCTCTGAGACAGAGCGTTTCACACCAAACCACTCTGAGTGACTTAGTTTACATCTGAACTGGTTAATTATGCTGAAATACTGAAAATGTTAAATCCCAGTTTAATGTTCTACTGGAGCTGCGCAATAAACACATCACTGATTACTGTGTTCATGCAGTTCTGAGATAAAGAGGCTTTTAAATGTTTAAATGTGACTTAAAAGGACTGCATATAACTGCTACAATCATAAATAACAGCAGTGTTGGGGTGGTCTTTGCACTAGGCAAAGGTAGGCAGCTGCCTAGAGCAAAGACCACCCCTGCCTCAGACCACCAGCTCAAAGAGTAGGGAGAGTCCATTACAGACGCAAGAATGAGATGAACGAATAGCCTTTGTATGTAAAGACAATCCATGCCCACCCTACCACTATATTTAAAATAATAAATCTTTTTTTTGAGAATTAAGCATTTTAGTTTCATTACATTTTTTTCCAGCACTGTTAAACACACCCATAAACAAATGTACGGGTCATTAAAGGGCCCATATCTAACATTTTTCTTGTAATTAAGATTTTTCCTTGAGGTCCACTTTTAAACGTTTGAGTTTTTATGTAACAAAAACAGAAATTTTTTTTTGCATGATCGTTTTATAATTTCTCTTTGTCCCTCAGGATTAAACAGGCTGTTTTTATAACGGTGCCTTTCAGATGGACACATGCAAACGACCGCTGCTCTGATTGGCCACCCCATTCAAAAGGAGTCCTAGTGTTGAAACACTTAACATGATAAATTTGAGCGAGAGTGGGTGGGGCTAAACTGCTATAGACTGACTAGGCAGGTTTATGTATTTTTTTTTTAAATAGCTTATTGTCATTATATGGACTGTATAGACTGGAGTGAACAGTCCATTTTAAGTGTTTACTTCCTACTTTTAATTCTCAAAATAGATGGTTCTTCTAGGGTTCTTCAGTAAGGACAATGGTTCTATACTGAACACTCAAAGAACAGTTACCACACAAGATACGACAGTCATAGACTCTTAGAAGGTTCCTAAACGGTTCTTGGATGTATGATTTAATTACACTCTTAAAAAAGATGGTTCTTAAAGGTTCTTTAGTAAAGACAACGGTTCTATATAGAACCATAAACACCCAAAGTACCCTTTGCATGATTAAAGGGTTCTTCAGACTGATGGAGAATGTGCTATATACAACATTTTTGCTTGCTTAAATGGTTCTTTGCATGGTGAAATGGTTCTTCAGGTTGATGTGTTGTGTTGTATATGTGGTTCTATATAGCACCAAAAAGGGTTCTTCTATTGTTACAAGCTGGACAAAAACAGAACACTTCTTGGTGCAATATAGAACCATATAAAACACAACACATCAATCTGAAGAACGATTTCACCATCCAAAGAACCAAATAATCATGCAAGTGTGCTCTTGGTTCTATATAGAACCATCATGTTCACTAAAGAACCCATGAAGAACCTTTTAAGAGTGCACATCAAGCTCTTTTATTGCATAAAAAGTTAGGAAGTACATTTTTCAACTGTATGTTCCCTTTAAAGATGTTCTGCAGGTCAGTTTTTTCTGTCTTTTTTGTGTTATGGTCAGAGACTTGGGTTGAGGGGGGCCTCCAAAGACCCTCACACTCAGGGCCTTGTGAGAACATGATCCCTCCCTGCTGTAGATCATCAGTGAGTCTGACTCTAAACCTGTGATACTGACCTTATAGACCTTTTTCTCCTCTGTCTCCCTCTATTGTGATCACTTTCAACAGGCGGATGTTCCCGAGCTACAAAGTGAAGGTAGCAGGATTGAACCCCAAAGCCAAATACATCCTGCTGATGGACGTAGTGGCCGCTGATGACCACCGGTACAAGTTTGCGGATAATAAATGGTAAGAGTCTGAAACTGTTACCACACAAGACACGACACAGACTCTTAAAAGGTTCCTAAACAGTTCTTGGGTGTATGATTTAATTACACTCTTAAAAAACTCTTCAAGGGTTCTGTATTAAAGAAAATGGTTCTATATGGAACACCCAAAGAACCCTATGCATCACTAAAGAGTTTTTCAGATTGACGGAGAATGTGCTGTGGACAATGCTATTTAGAACCATTTTCAAAAAGGGTTCTTCTATTGTTACAAGCTTGACTTCTTCACAATAGCAGAACCCTTTTTGATGCTATATAGAACCTTTTTTTCTAAAAGGTTCCATATAGAATCATCTACAGCACATTCTCCATCATGAAAGGGTTCTTTGAGTGTTCTTGGTTCTATATAGGACCATTTTCTCTACTAAAGAACCCTTGAAGAACCATCTTTTTTAAGTGTGAAGCTTGACATCGCCACAATAGCAGAACCCTTTTTGGTGCTATATAGAACACTTTTCAAAAATGTTCTATGTTGAACTGTTTACAGCACATTCTCCATCCATCTAAAGAACACTTTCATGATGCAAAGAACACTTTAATCATGCAAAGGGTTCTTTGAATGTTCATGGTTAGAACCATTTTCTTTATGGAAGAACCCCTGAAGAACCATCTTTTTTAAGAGTGTAGTGTGGAACCTTATGTGAAGGTTCTTACTTTAAGTAGGTTCTTCACATTGGCACATTGTACACATTGTACTTTAAAGAACAACCCACTGAAAGGTTCTTCAGGGAGCCAGAAGTGGTTCATATGTGACATTGCTCGAAAAGAACCCTTTGTAGGACTTTTATTTTGAAGAGTGTAAAATGACTGACTCTTTTTGAAGTGGAGCTCTCAGGTTCCAGAATATTTAAGTCTTCACTGCAAATGAAAGCAAAATGTAACTATGAGTGACGTAGACTTACTGTAGAAGTAAGAGTTACTTATAGAACAGCTGCAGAACCTCTCAGTCCATCCAGACTCCTTATTCCGATAATCCGTTCCACCTTAAATGATTACATTCTGGTGCCTCAAGTGGAAAATTGTTGACTGGCCAAGTCAGTCACCTGATCTGGACTTGCCCACTGAGCATGCCTTATCATCGCTGTCCAAGAAGAATCTCCAAAATGTTAAAGTTACAGGAGAAAAACAAAAACATTCTTTACTTTCAATGTAAACTAACGTGAAAGATTTTATTTCAAGCAGTTTTGGAGCATTTCTGTTGGTCAATTCATCATGACGTTTTGGCAATCTAAAGGCAGGTGGATGGACAGATGTGTGGGTGGATGGATGTATGAATGGTAGGATGGATAGATGGATGGTTGCATGGATGGATGGGTGGATGGTTGTTTGGGTGGTTGGGTGGATGGTTGGGTTGATAGATGTGTGGGTGGGTGGGTTGATGGATGTGTGGATGGGTGGGTGGTTGGATAGGTGGAAGGACAGATGAATGGATGGACGGTTGGGTGGATGGTTGGGTTGATGGATGGGTGGATGGGTGGGTGGTTGGATAGGTGGAAGGACAGATGAATGGATGGACGGTTGGGTGGATAGTTGGGTTGATGGTTGGGTGGATGGTTGGGTGGATGGTTGGTTGGTTGGGTGGATTGTTGGGTGGTTGGGTGAATGGATAGGTGGAAGGATAGATGGATGGATGGATGGGTGGGTGGATGGTTGGGTGGATGGTTGAGTGGATGTGTGGGTGGATGGATGTATGAATGGTAGGATGGATAGATGGATGGTTGCATGGATGGATGTGTGGATGGCTGCTTGGGTGGTTGGGTGGATGGTTGGGTTGATAGATGTGTGGATGGGTGGGTTGATGGATGTGTGGATGGGTGGGTGGTTGGATAGGTGGAAGGACAGATGAATGGATGGACGGTTGGGTGGATAGTTGGGTTGATGGATGTGTGGATGGGTGGGTGGTTGGATAGGTGGAAGGACAGATGAATGGATGGACGGTTGGGTGGATAGTTGGGTTGATGGTTGGGTGGATGGGTGGGTGGTTGGGTGGATGGTTGGGTGGATGGTTGGTTGGGTGGATTGTTGGGTGGTTGGGTGAATGGATAGGTGGAAGGATAGATGGATGGATGGATGGGTGGGTGGATGGTTGGGTGGATGGTTGAGTGGATGGTTGGGTAGATGGATAGGTGGAAGGATAGATGGATGGATGGATGGATGGGTGGGTGGATTGTTGGGTGGATGGTTGAGTGGATAGTTAGGTGGATGGGTGGATGGTTGGGTGGATGGTTGGGTGGAAGAAAAGATGGATAGGTGGATAACATTCTTTAACAATCTCATAATGAGAAATTGCCCAGATGTTCTGATCATTTACTTAATTGCAGTGTCAGTGAAAGTGACAGGTTCCTGCCCTGTGCTCAGGTCAGTGTGCGGTAAAGCCGAACCTGCTATTCCGGGTCGACTTTACGTTCATCCGGACTCCCCGGCTCCCGGAGCCCACTGGACCAGACAGCTCGTCTCCTTCCAGAAACTCAAACTCACCAACAACCACCTCGACCCCTTCGGCCACGTGAGTGATGATGATGGTGATGATGATGATGATGGTGATGGTTAGAATGGTTACAGATGATTCTGAAGCTTAAAGTTTAAGATCGCAGCACCTGGTGAAAACATAATTAACACAAACAAATAATCTTAGAAGACAGATGCATTTAAATACACATTAGGTACAAATGGTTTCGTTGTTTTGTAGAAATACCATAACATATTTTTGATAGAATAATGGAAATAATTTCAATTCAAGTCAGTCTATCTGACATCTCAAATAATTTTATAGCTGAAAATCAAACTGTATTTGATATACAATGCATACTGGCTTGCAGTCCAGTAGTAAAAATAAATATAAAAAATATTTTTAGAAAGTATGTATCGTAACACCCATAGTAGAATGAGAAATTATATTTGCCATTATAACAGTTTTTGTTATTTTATGTACAATAATAATGAGAAATTGAATTAAGTATTAAAAAACGCTTTGCCAAAAGATATTTCTAGATGTTTAATTCAATATTTCAAGAATTTTGTGAACAAAGAGTTATCAATTTTATTTTGTCAAGTTTATCACCCCCTTTGAAATATGATGAATTGTGGATATTAATTTGATTAGAACTTAAGCCTTAATGTTCTACAGCTTTCTCAGTTTTTTGAGAGTCTTCTGTGTCATATCTGACATTTCTAAATTTTTATTCACAGCTTCCTAGAGTTTTATGAATTATGTGAAACCTGTGAACTCATACAAGACGTGTAGAGTAGAACTGTTGTTTTTTATATTGTTAAAAACATTGTTTCCAGACTTTTAAATGGCAGTGTATTTGCCTTTGTTACAGATCATATTGAACTCCATGCATAAATACCAGCCGCGGCTGCATATAGTGAAAGCGGATGAGAAGAACAGCTTTGGCTCCAGCAACACAGCCTTCTGCACTCATTCATTCCCCGAAACAGCCTTCATCGCTGTCACTTCCTACCAGAACCACACTGTAAGTGCAGAAGCAGCATGGATGGGTGGGTGGATGGATGGGTTGGTGGATGGATGGATGAATGAGTGGTAGGATGGATAGATGGATGTTGCATGGATGGATGGATAGATTGATGAGTGGATGGATGAGTTTGTGGATGGATGGCTTGGTGAATGGATGGAGGTATGAATGGTAGGATGGATAGATGGATGAGTGGATGGATGGGTTGGTGAATGGATGGATGTATGAAAGGTAGGATGGATAGATGGATGAGTGGATGGATAGGTTGGTGGATGGATGAATACATGAATGATAGGATGGATAGATGGATGTTTGCATGGATGGATGGGTGGATGGTTGTGTGGATGGATAGGTGGATGGTGGAAGGATGGGTGGGTGAATGGATGGATGGATGGATGGATGGATTGTCGAATAGATGGATAGATCATAGGATGGATGGAAAGATGGTTGCATGGATAGATGGGTAGATGGTTGGATGGATGGTTGAGTGAAAGTATAGATGGGTGGATGGATGGGTGCATTGTTGTCTGAATGGATAGGTGGATGGATGGGTGGGTGGATGGTTGGGTCAGTGGATGGATGGATGGAGAAAGGATGGATGGAGGAAGGATGGTTGGGTAGATGGATAGGTCGTTAAGTGGATGGATGGGTGGGTGGCTTGATGGATGGATGGATGGATGGATGGAGGAAGGATGGGTGGAGGATGGATGGTTGGGTAGATGGATAGATCGTAGGATGAATGGTAGGATAGTTCCATGGATAGATGGGTAGATGGTTGGATGGATGGTTGAGTGAAAGTATAGATGGGTGGATGGTTGGGTGAGTGGATGGATGGGTGGATGGTTGGATGGTTGGGTAGATGGATAGATTGTAGGATGGATGGATGGTTGCATGGATAGATGGGTGGGTGGTTGCATGGAAGGACAGGTGGATGGATGGTTGAGTGAAAGTATAGATAGATGGGTGGGTGGATGGGTGGATGGATGGATAAATAGATGAGCGTTTCTCTGTATCTTTCAGATCACTCAGTTGAAGATCGAGAACAATCCATTCGCGAAGGGTTTCCGTGGTAACGAAGACATCGAGATGCATCGGATGTCCCGTTCACAGAGGTGGGAAAACTGCATGAAATAGAAAAATGCATAACAACAGGAGAAACGGATGTAAAATGAAACATCTTCACACTTACGCAAAAGTCTGTGAACATTTTTATTTGTAAATTTTACACTTTATGTTTTTCTCCCAGCATGTTAAATTTAGCAAATAAATAGAAATGAAGCTCTGAATCTGCAGACCAGGAGTGTTCAAACTTTTGCACAAGACTCTGTAGTGGAGTAGTGTTCAAAAACACCAAAGCAGAGTAAAAACACTACACACCACTAGAATCAATGCAATAAACACAAAAACAATATGACTTTGTTCAGTTCCCTCAGCAGCTCCTGATTTAATTTTATGAAGTATTGATTAGATAAAGCAGGTGTTAGACTATAACTACAACCAATACACACATAAAATCACTACTTATTATATTAACGTTATCTGTATTTAATCTAATATTAGTTTTTCCAGAGCTAATAAACTCTACCGCCCAGATAAACAGCCTTTTCAAGACAGAAATTTTCTCAGGCACTTAAGTCTTTTGCACAGTTCAGCATATACGCTCAGTTTTCCTCACACGCTCTTCACGACTGAATGACGTGGTCTTTTTGAACGTTGCTGTTTTTGAGTGGTGTTTATTTGGGCTGCTGTTAGATTTGTAGAGTTCTTCAAGCTCGGCCGGACTGAGATTAGGCTGTCCTTTTGAATCGAAGCGCTGGGGGAAGGTGGAACCAAAGTCAAGACTGCATGTTGCTTGTTGACCTTATTGGATGTGACACACATGAGGGGGGATATTTATAGCTTAGAGAGCGAGCAGTGCAGCGAGTAAAACACTGCATCACAAACAGGGGTCAGCGACGGGCTACAGTGTGTGTGTGTGTCTGACAGAGACGGAGAGAAAATGTGTGTGTGTGTGTGTGTGTGTGTGTGTGTGTGTGTGTGTGTGTGTGTGTGTGTCTATAAAGTCAGAATCATCAGCCAAATAAACAATGTTCATATAATTTACTAGAACAATTAGAATTCTGTATGATGCAGTAAATTAATAAATGCTTTTTTATACTTTAAAGTTTTGGCATTTGAAAAAATAGCACATTTAACTGTTGAATCTCTTTACTTTAATGTTTTTTGTAAACTTTAAAAATGGGTGTCAATGTGTTGCAGTGATAGAGTAAAATTAAAAAATACTAAACTATGTAAAACATATACAGGTTTGTGCACCCTTGGCTGCATTTCCATGTTTTACTGACTTTCTGAGTGTCAATAAGTGAACACATACTCTACAGAGAACGCACTTTAATACACCGATACTGTTTATTTGCCGAATTCTTTTTTTATAATGTTGGAAAAACATTAAATATAAAACGTGAGTTCTGTGAAAGCTGTGGCACATTTTACATTTTAAGTTTTTTTTCTCCAAAATGTTAAACTCAGCAAAAAGAAATTTCAGGAGGAAAAAATTCTAAAGTCAAGTCAAAGTTTATTTTTATAGCACTTTTTACAACAGGCAATGTCTCACAGCAGCTTTTCAGAAAAATCTGGGTCCGAGCCCCCATGAGTAAGCTAGTTGTGACAGTGGAACAGGAAGAAACCTTGAGAGGAACCAAGACTCAAAAGGGGAACCTATCCTCCTCTGGTACACACCAGACAGCAAACAACTTTAGCATAACTATTAAAATACAGACTCGGGGAAAAACAGTGAAGCAATGGCTGTAATTAAATAGTTTGAGTCTGTGCAGCAGCATCATCAGGAGGGTCAGTTCACGTACAGTGCTGTGCAGCAGGAAGCTCCATGGTGGTCTAACTTGTCCAGAAGGCGGGCAAGCAGTGGGTACTAAATCAAGGCAGATAAAGCAACAGCATCAGACCCCACAGGATGGGCAGCTGTTCAATTCAGCAAAAGAAACACAGACAGTTAGTTCCGTAAAGAGTGACTGATTACAGTATGCAGTGTTAACAGAGAGCAGCAGAGACTCCGGCAGGTCGAGCTATTACAGCCTCGGTGCCCCTCTGCTCCACCGTCAACAAACCTGAGTGAGTGAGTGAGAGCAGCGGGACGACAGCACCAACACTCCCAGTTTACCGTAATACTGTATGACCCTGAACCCCCAGCCCCTTTTATCTAACAGGGAAAACTAATTACCAAAGACTCGACTAAACAAGTGGGTTTTTAGCCTAGACTTAAAGACTGAGGCTGTGTTTGAGTCTCGAAAACTGGCTGGAAGACTATTCCAAAGTTTGGGGGCTTTGTATGAGAAGGCTCTCCCCCCTGATGTAGCTTTATTAATTCTAGGTACTAATAGTAAGCAGCACCTTGTGATCTAAGCAGGCGTGGCGGTTCGTGTATGTCAATAAAAGAATTTTGTATAATTTAACTGGCAACCAGTATCAAGTCTGATAAAACCGGACTGATATGGTCAAACTTTCTGGTTCTTGTGAGGACTCTGGCTGCTGTGTTCTGGACTAACTGAAGCTCGTTAAGGCTTTTGCTGGAACATCCAGACAGCAGAGCATTACAGTAATCCAGCCTCAAGGTAATAAATACATGAACTAGCTTTTCTGCATCCCGTAGAGACTGTAGTGCATTTCTTCACAAAGCCGCTGTTCTCACACAGTTCTCTGAAGATGAAATGTCATTATTTTGCATACGACTGTATGTTTTAATAATTAGCTTTAAAATGCTTAGTCAGCAACAATATACAGATAATAAAAAAACAGATCTTACTGTGTTGCAGGGATGCACATTTGGAAAATAATGTAAAATCTATTTTAAATAAATTCAGTTGTTCACATTTATTTTTATTTATTCACCCAGGCCTCACTGTTCATATGTCAGAAAAAAGAAAGCATACATTTTTTTTTTTTTAATTTTTAATTTTTATTGTTGGGTCCCAGTATTTGTCATGTTGGTGACAATAACCCTATATACATATATATATATATATATGTATGTATGTATATAGCCTGACAGCACTACTTAATAAACAAATAAACAAACAAGCAAACACACAAACAAACTAATACATAAGCAAGCATGAGAGTGTGTTGTGTGGATATGTGTGCGTTTGAGAGAGAGAGAGAGAGAGAGAGAGGGAGATGGAAAGAGCTAAAGAAACAGTGAAAGACAGAAAGGGCGAGAGACATAGGGAGAGAGAAAGAGAGAAAGATTGGGTTTAATGAATAAAGAGCACAGAAAGGGCAAAGATTTTTTTTGCTAGTTAGCCGCTGTTTGTGTCCCTTCACTGTGAAATTGAATTAGGACAGATTAGCCGCAGTGGCTAACTGCAGCTCCCTTATATCATACACCCCCCGTCTGCTGACCCCAGAATTCCAGTGTGGTCAGAAACACCCTCCGCCGGCCCCCTATACCCGGACCCCAAACGCTCTGCCTTAGCTTACTAATGCCTATGAACCTCTGCCTTGCTGGGGCGTGTTCCACATTGTCACGAGCTAGCATTGATGCTATCTTGTGAAAAGCTCTACTTCCTCTTTCATACTCAGGGGCAGATCGTGGTCCCCTAGTTTCGAGCCCCCCAGCATACCAAAAACAATTAGTAAAAAAATTAGGCTGAACAATACTTCATATTTGTGCTTGTATGTAAACAAAATGCTAATGTATTTGTGTTTTCCTGCTGTGATGAACTCAGATTAGCATTGGAAGTGCTAAAATAGCAGCGCTACGCTAAAAACACGCTACAGTACAGTTCATCTACCAGCTCTCCATTTTCTTGTGATAGCAGGTGGGCGGCAGCGGCAGTGTGAGAGTGCCACAAAAGATTTGTTGTCAAAAGCTCCTGCCCCTTGTTCAGGAGAGAGAAGGTGAAGTCTGGGTGGGTGGAGGACCAGCTGAGACAGAACAATAGTCTCATATTATACTCGCTGTTTTAAACAAACACTTCCCCTCTGAAATATTAAAATTAATAATAATGTATGAAAGCTAATAGGGCAAAGTTAGGATTTTGCACTTGTGTAGAATCAGAGTATATTACAGTATGTCTTTCTGGCAGTCCCCTATATTCTTACCTTACTGTATCACACCATGGACCCTTCTTAGGTCCCTCACATTCCTACTTTATATACTCTTCTTAGGTCCCCTACTTTCTTACTTTACAGTAAATGCTCTTCTTAGGACCCCTAACTTCTTAGGTCCCCTACCTTCTTACTTTACAGTATATACTCTTCTTAGCTTCCTTACCTTCTTTCTTTGCAGTATATACTCTTCTTATGTCTCCTACCTTCTTATTTTACAGTATATACTCTCTGTAGGTGTCCTACCTTCTTATTTTACAGTATGTACTCTTCTTAGGTCCCCTACCTTCTTACTTTACAGTATATACTCTTCTCAGCTTCCTTACCTTCTTTCTTTACAGTATATACTCTTTTTATGTCTCCTACTGTCTTATTTTACAGTATATTTTACAGTATATACTCTTCTTAGGTCTCCTACCTTCTTATTTTACAGTATATTTTACAGTGTGTACTCTTCTTAGGTATCCTATCTTCTTATTTTACAGTATATACTCTTCTTAGGTCCCTTATCTTCCTACTTTACAGTATATACTCTTCTTAGGTCTCCTACCTTCTTATTTTACAGTATATACTCTTCGTAGGTCCCTTATCTTCTTACTTTACAGTAAAGGTCCCCTACTATCTTATTTTACAGTATATACTCTTCTTAGGGCCCATACCTTCTTACTTTATGGTATATACTCTTTTTTAGCTTCCCTACCTTCTTTCTTTACAGTATATACTCTTCTTAGGTCCCCTTTCTTCTTACTTTACAGTGTATACTCTTCTTAGGTCCCTTATCTTCTTACTTTACAGTAAAGGTCCCCTACCTTCTTACTTCACTGTATATACTCTTCTTAGGACCCCTACCTTCTTACTTAACAGTATATACTCTTCTTAGGTCCCCTACCTTCTTATTTTACAGTATAAAATCTTACTAGGTCTCCTACCGCCTTCTTTTACAGTATATACTCTTCTTAGGTCCCCTACCTTCTTATACCACAATTTGCCTTCTGACAGTCCCCTATTTTCTTACTTTACTGTACCACACCATGGACCCTTCCTAGGTCCCCTACCTTCTTACTTTACTGTTTGACACCATGGACCCTTCTTAGGTCCCCTACCTTCTTACTTTACGGGTACCACAGTACATACACTTCTTTACTTACTTTACAGTATACACTCTTCTTAGGTTTTCTCCATTCTTACTTTGCTGTACCACACTATGCACCCTTCTTAGGTCCTCTTCATTTTTACTTTACTGTGCCATACAATGTACTCATCATAAGTCCTTTATACTGTTAATTTACCACAGTGTACTGTGTTCCCTTCTTAGGTCCCCTACCTTCTCACTTTAGTGTACCAGACCATGTACCGTTCTTAGGTCCCCTTTATTCTTACTTTAATGTACCATACCATGTAACCTTTGTATGTACCCTACTATCTTGCAGTATTGTTCCATTCCATGCACTATTCTTAGGTCCTCTATCCTTTGACTTTACTACACAATGTATTCTTCTTGGGTCACTGATTTGAAAATACCCTGCTTAGGTCTCCTAGCTTCCTACTATAGTGTACTCCACTATGTACCCTACTTAGGCACCCTACCCCATGCCATTTGGTACTGCTCTTTTATGCATTCTTTACCTTTCTCTCCATAGTAAGGAGCACCCTCTGGTTCCACGAACCACGGTTCGCCCAAGAGTGACGCCATCACCCACTGATTCTCTCGTGCCCTACACCCTACCACACGCCCTCAGCCCTGACTACACCTGTTCAGAACCCTCAGGTATGGAAACACACTATATCACTAATGTAGTGTATACTTTGACTGTAGTGTGCATCACTTTAATGTCCACTTCTGTTTTAATGAATTTAATATGTTTTTCGCAGGAAAAAATTATAATCTATTTAAAAAGTTTTATGGCATTTTTTAAATCTCGCTCTCATATATATATATAAATATATGCTGCTGTCGGAAGAAGACCTTGTATCTCCATTGTAACATTGTGTGTTTATTTCATGAAAAATGGACTAAAAGAAACGGCCCAAAATGACTTGGAAAAAATTCTGGTTCCATTGACTTACATTAAAAGTAAAGTACTTTTTTCCTTCTCCTGTAAAGTTACCATTTTGGGGATACAAGGTTTTCCTCCGACAATGATACATGCATGAATATGTGTAAATGTGTATACATAAATACTCATACATACATACATACATACATACATCATCTAAACCGCTTATCCTTCTGGGTCGCGGTGGGGTGCTGGAGCCTATCCCAGCTGTCATTGGGCGGAAGGCAGGATACACCCTGGACAGGTTGCCAGTCCATCGCAGGGCAATAAATACTCACTATGCATATATGTATAGTCATGTACAAAAGCTTGGACAAATTGCGTCTTGTTGATTTTCTAAATGAAATTAAGTTAACGCATCCTCTATAGAAAACATACATAAGTATGGCATTTTCTGCAAATTTCAGCACACAATTTATGTTTATTTGCTGAGTTTAGCATACTGGAAGAAAAAAAAACTATAAAATGTGCCTTAACTTTTGCACAGGCCGTTTAACAGCCACCCCCAACCCAATACATTAAATTCAGCAAATAAATAATTAAATAAATAAATAAATATTGCCTTAAAATGTGCGGTAAGTGTGTTCCCTGTAGAGGATGTGTTCACTTATTGGTAGCACTTGATTTGGATGGTCCACTGCTTTGTAGATGCTCAGTCTGTCTTTAAGTAACATTCAACTAATTATCCATTAAATGCAACTGAACATCCAGTTCAGTGTGAAAGAGTTTGTTGTATCTAACCCTACCCTCAAAGCACAACCTACAATCTAACCATAATGTTGTTGATAATCAACTGATTTAAGTATCTGAATTCAGAACCATTAGCCTACTGTGTTTGCACACAGAGGAATTAGACCTCCGCATTTGACCCATCCGTGCAGTGAAACACCCACATACATGCACACTAGTGAACACACACACTAGGGGGCAGTGAGCACACTTGCCCGGAGCGGTGGGCAGCCCTATCCACAGCGCCCGGGGAGCAGTTGGGGGTTAGGTGCCTTGCTCAACAGCACTTCAGTCATGTACTATCAGCCAAGGGGATTGAACTGGCGACCTTCCGGTTCCCTAACCTCTAGCCCACGACTGCCCCACTGTAGGGCAGGGGTGCACAACTCCGGTCCTGGAGGGCCGGTGTCCAGCACAGTTTGGAGGTTTCCCTGCTCAAACAACCCCACTTAACCTGGCAATTAACAGCTAAGTGTGATCAGGTGTGTTTGAGCAGGTAAATCACCTAACTGTGCTGGACACCGGCCCTCCACAACCAGAGTTGTGCACACCTGCTGTAGGGCATCTATGGGGGACCATCCAACTAAAGTGTGACCAACTTATTTTCACTGTACTAATATGTAATTTGATAGGGGTGCACACACCTTTGCATACGATGGTATATTTATATTTTCTGTGTTCGTTAGTGAAGACATATTTAAATCACTTAAATCATTCAGGTCTATTGTTAATTATAACATAATTGTTTGAAAAAAAGGAAAAAAGAAACATAGTTACTTTTATTTTGACATGCTCATGAGAATAACCCGGCTACTGTTGCTAGGGTGGGCAAGCTTTACTGAATGCTGATGCGCATTTGTGGGTGGAGCTTGGATAGATCTTGACCCTCCTTTCTGTTCCTGTTTCTTTTTCCTAACAGGAAAACACAAACTGTCGTCTGAAGACAACTCTTTTGCGGAGACCCCACCCACACACGACCCTTCTTACCCCCTCCTGACTTACCAGGCGTCTTCTGACCTCGGGCTGGGCAACGGCGCCCCCTACAGTGCAGATTCAGCCCAGCATCAGCCATGTATGTACACCAGCTCGCAGTCGGGGGGCCTGGACGAACTCGTGTGGGAGTCTTATGCCGAATGCCCTCCCTACTTGACCTTTTCCTCCTCTCGGGAAATGGGCGGGGCATTTGGCCACACCCCTGACCCTCCCCAGGACATCTACCCACAATACACCTGTGAGGTGGGCGTCCAGTCGCATTGCCCTATGACTGATTACGCTCTGTATGCGTGCAGCCACCCTGTGGGTCAGAATCACTGCGGTGGGGTGGGCTGGTGTGGGGGGAGCTGAGTGTGTGTGTGTGTGTGTGTGTGTGTGTGTTTGTATAGTGTGTTTTCCATTTCCGGACATAACTGTGGTGCAGTTGTTACAAAACTTTACAGTTTTCCTCCAGGCTGTCAGGTTAAAAGGGAAATTCCACCGATTTCTCAAAATTTCAGCATAATTAAATGGTTGTAATGTGATGTAAACTAAGTCACTCAGAGTGGTTTGGTGTGAAACGCTCTGTTTTAGAGAAACTTACAGAGTCAGAATTGTTCACAGTGGTGGTGATAGGAACCAGACATCCACCTCTAAAAGCTCCCTCACAGAAAGTTACTACAGGAAATAGTTATGAATTCACTGCCTGATGTCTGAGACTGTATCCCAAGAACTCTGCATTTCTGTATATCTGTATTTTTTCCCGATTTTCCACTATTTTTCATCATCAACATTCCATATAAACTCAGAAGACTTGTGTAGGTTCACTGGTGGTTTTGATAGTAAATAAAATGTCTATATTTGTGTTGTAGTCATAACGACTGCTGGCTCCTATCACCACCACTGTAAAGACATCTGAACCATTTCACACCAAACCACTCTGAATCACTCTGTTTACATCGCGCACACTGAATTACACAGAAATTTTGAAAAATTGGTGGAATTGCCCTTTAAGTCTTTCTGAGATGTGAAAACATTTTTCTTGAAGAAGTATTTAGATAAAGATGCATTTAGAGTCAATCGACTGTAATATACGTTTTATATTATTTTTTTCCAGAGTGGTCAGCAGCAGGTTTTAGCTCCTCCCACAAACCAAAGCTTTAGCGCAGGGGTCTCAAACTCAAATTACCTGGGAGCCAATAGCTAAGCTGGGGAGGGCTGGTTGAAAAAAATGCAGGGAAAAAATGGCCCAGTAATTACTAATAATATTAATTATTGCTGGCTTGCCAAACTAGCTTCCTGTTTTTTGTTATTTTCTGCTTCTTCTTCTTATTATTATTCTATATTCCAGTTTCACAGACTGTAGTTTTTGAGCTAGAACCATAAAATATTGCAGGACTGTAGAGCCTATACAGCAATGATGCACTGGTGCATTTGGGACCGATCACATCTACAGATTTTGTACATTGTTTTTTCAAACACTACCCATTATGTATATATAACAGTAGCAATATATGACACTTGTGATAGCGTTGGCATTCCTGCAAAGTTAAACGAGTGAAGCAGAGCAGAGCAGATTCATTTGGCATTTCTGTTTATTTCTTAATTCTGACACACAAAAACCTGACACTGCATGAGCGCAGCACACTGACTGCAGTTTAGCTATAACTTTATATTGTTCTAATTCAGACTGATAGTTAGTTAAATCTGCCTGTGTGGATTCATTCAGGACACAGTGAATCCATGAAGGCAGATCTAATAACTATCAGTCTAGATTAGAATAATAGCTCAGTTATAGTTCAATCACAGTCAGTGTGTAGCGTTCATGTGGCATCAGGTTTCCACTGGAATCGTTCGTTGCTAATGTTGCTATAGCCTGTTATTATGCAGTGCTTTATTTTTGTTTTAACATCCTAATCAGTATGAGTCTGGTATGTGAAGCAAATCTTCCCATCAGATGTAAATATTTAGCAGTTAAAAAAAATGTGTCAAGTAAGGTTTAAGGAAAAATTGTAAATATGTGATGGGGCTGGATGAAGCTCTCACGGGCCAGTAGTTTAAGACCCCTGCTTTAGTGCAACGGGACATAATAGACACTGTGAATCTTCTAGTTTTATAATACAGACTGAACTTCAGACTTTAAACAGCCAAAACACATTCAAATAATCAGATCCATTCACACACACACACACACACACACACACACACACACACACACACACACACACACACTACAGTAGAGGAGCCCTGGAGGGGCGCTTTTAGTTTTGTTCTGTTTTAATCCCGGTCTCGATAAGGAAGGGGGCGCTGGGTACTACGCACGTCAGCATCTGTTAGAGCAACACTGACCATAATGATGTTGTCATGGCTTCAGGCCAAACTGTAAAGAGAGAGAATGGAGAGAGAGAAAGAGACAAAGTGAGAGAGAGAGAGAGAGAGAGAGAGAGAGAGAGAGAGAGAAGGATAGAAAGATAAATGATTCCAGATTCAGGAATGAATCTCCAAATCAGCCAATGAGTGATTCAGTATTTAGGAATCAATCTCGCAAATCACTAACGTTTGAGGGTTGGTAGTGAAACTGAATGACACATATATGATTCCAGGTTCAGGCATGAATCTTAGAATCATTTATGAAAAATGAATCCCCAACTCTTGCATAAATTGTTCAGCATTTTGTAATGAATCTCTGAATCACTCTTAAATGAAGCCATATTCAAGAGTAAATCTTAAATGAATGAATAATTAATAATTCCTGATAATTGATTCATGACTCAGGAATGAATCCCCTAATCACACATAAATGTGTGTTTAGTGAATTTTGGAATTCATCTCCAAATCATGCATTTTTGAGGCTTAGTAATGAATCTCTGAAATACACATAAATTATTCCAGGTTCAGGCATGAATCTCAGCATAATTTACAAATGATTCCAATAATGACTCAAGTGCATCAGCATTTAGGAATGAATCTCTGAGTCATGCATAAATATATTCAGATTCAGGATTGAATCTCAGGATCATGCATAAATGATTCTATACTTAGGAATGAATCTCTGAATCATGCATAAATGATTCTGTACTTAGGAATGAATCTCTGAATCTTGCATAAATGATTAAACATGTAGGAATGAATCTCCAAATCATGAATTTTTGGGGGTTATGAATGAATCTCTAGAATCACACATATATAATTCCAGGGTCAAGCCTGAATCTTTGCTTTGAATCTGGATTCAAGAGCAAATCTCTGAATCTCTGAAGTGAATGGCTCAGGAATGACCTTCACCCAAAGGACGGCTGGCTGTGCAGGTTTAGCTAAGTTTATAACAGATTATTACATAACTTCAAGCTCCACCTTTGGGCCTAATGCAACACAGCAAGGGGTTAAATGGAATGCAGTTGCCCTCTGTTTTAGCTTGTGATCACAACACAATATGGCTGGTGTGGAACATTTAATGGAAAATATTATCAATAATATAAGCCATGTATGTTTTTTGACAACCATCCAACCACTACAGAAATAATCTTGCATAATTTTCAAAAAGTGGAGGGGGCCTTGCCCCCCGAAATTGCACCGATGCAACAGTACACATCACAAAGCAATAAACAAGGACACATTTACTAATGCTATTTAATTCTCAGCATCATGGTTTTGCCAGATGCATTAAAAATCTGTGCTTTTGATACACCAACAAAAAATGAGCTGGACTAAAAACAGCAGCTTGTAGCTTAGATCAGCCAGCTGTATTTATCAGGCAATATCAGCTGAACTGACCTGAACTGAAGAACTTGCTATGCTGTGAATTCTGCTGAATTCCTCTGAATGCAGTTTGAGCAGGTTATTATTTGGGACACAAATCTAAAGTTCCACATTATGATGCACATTCAGGAACGAATCACTGAACCAACTCAACAGTAAAACTCTGTAGGCCTGAGGTTTCTGACTCTTCCATTGTTCTGTGAACCTTCCAGTAATGGATATACTTCATATTCCACACATTTATTCCTTATATTTATCCCTTTATTTGAGGGTCCGGATGAAAGATATGAGAGTACGCGTGTATGACTGAGAGAGATGGAGCGTTTGTACATATACGAAATATTTCCAGCAATAAGAGAACGATCAGGATCGCTCAGAAAAGATTCGTTTTCCTCTGTGTTCTCTTTGTCTATTTAATATAATATTTATTTTTACCTCACAGAAATTGCACATTGAGTTGAGCTGCTTATTCGCGACATAATTGCTTTAATATATTCTGTTGTGAAACTGTGTTCTAATTTCATTGTACACAAGTGCTTGTCGAGACGTTTTGTGTGAAAGTTGATGGTGAAATAAAGACGACAAATTGAATCTGACTCTTGTTCAGTCCTGTATGGCGTAAAAATGAACTTCTTGAATCATGTTTCAAATAGAATATATTATTATTTAACATTTCTCAAATTTTATTAAGATTTATTCAAAGATATTTACAAAAAGTCCCTATTATGGAAATAGCAGCCACCAATAACTCACCAAATACCACGTCATGTGGCACATTAATTCATCATATATTAAACTGCCTGAGAAATAATTGATTTGTATTGATTTTTCCATTTTGTTTCCAGCGTCTTTTCAAAATCAGTGATTTTTTTACAGAATATAGAATTTTTGAGTTTTAAAATTAAGCTGAACCTCAACATTTAAGCAGCCCTAACAGATTCAATTAATCAGATCTATTCATGCACACATAAGACTGGAATGTATCGGGAGTACATATCGTCTCCAACCCTCCCCCCCAGAATAAACCCATGTATCTCCATTTTTTTCCATTTTTTACATCATTTGACACGGCAGCTGCTCTTTACATTGTAGCAAATTTTCACAAATAATGGACTAATAGAAATGCTCTAAAATCACTTAAAATTAAATCACTTTACATTATCTTACATTAAGGCCCAGTCCCATTTCACCCCTCACCCCTACCACTTAGCCCTTATTCCTCCGTTTTGCACATTTGTCTAGGGGTAGGGTGTCCTGATTCTTGTTGAGATAGAGGGGTAGGGCGAAGTGTTGGGGATACATGACCCTCCAAACGGAGGTTTTTCAGACTCCAAACAAAGAGTTATGAGAAAAAAAGAAAAACCGGCAAGATGGCTGAACAAGAGACCAAAGAAACCCACAGATGTGAGAATTTTCTCTGTTAGAAAATTATGATAATCACTGTATTCTCTTAGTTTAATGTTGTTTCAGTGTATTATGATCCTTTTCTTCATAACAAGCATAAAAATCACTAGTAGTTTGCTGATGCCTCAGTAGCTAGCTTGCTAAATTTCCTGTTCCACCTTAAATAGTCCAGCAGTTCTGACGCCTTAATTTGAACGACAAGCGGGTGAATA